TTGCGCATGAACTCACCTGTCAAATTTTGACCAATCAGAGCATAAAAATTGGACGTAGAGCGTGACCAACGCGTGACCATTGTGAGAAAAAACAAAAGCAACTGTCTTCCCTGCCTGTAACAGCTGGCTGAATTTTCACGTCCGAGGTCAGTTTGCAATCAAAATTTTAATTGTGCAGCACATAAACACAACATATTTCATATGAATTAAGAAAAAAAATTAAACTTGAGCCTGCGATCACTTGAAAACTAGTTTACTTGTCAGCGGATAACTTAACTTGACCTCGACGGCTCGACACCTGAGCCCGCGATACGGTCAAGTGATACTGGTCAGCGGGTACTCTGTTTTGACAGCTGTCAATTGATCAAAACATTGATGTCCAATATGTGTGCATTATCAGTTTTCCTGTGCTCCCAAACTAGTAAAAGTATGAGATTGAACGTTGTTCGCGGTCTAGTAAAACAGTTAACTGGTCAGCGGACAGCTTCCAAATAAATCACGTCACCTCGATGAGTTGACACATGAGCCCGCGATATGGTCATGGGATACTGGTCAGTGGCTATCCTGTTTGGACAGCTGTCAATTGACATTGTTAATGTCCCGCTTAATGTCCTATATTAAAGATGTGGACTTGCCAAGACACGCCTGAGACACCCCTCCCTTCCTTTTGATAGTCTCCCCTACCCCACCCATACAATCTGTAGACGCGTACGTACGTACGTACGTACGCTCGGTCAATCACGTGACAACCAAACGAAAAGAGGTTGACCATATTCCATGGGTATGGGCCTCTGTCGCACGCGCGCTTCGCGCGCGCGGGAGCCCCGCTACAAAAACAAAAAACGAGCGAGATTGCATGCGGCTAAACAAAGATCTGGTACAAATTTCCCTAAACAGTCTAATATAATTATAAACCCCCTAGTCGTTCAAAGCTTAACAACTTGATAACGGTAAGCAGGGGTGGGAGGGGTGGGCCCAAGGGGCCGGCCCCACCTGCCCCCGCTTTAGTCCGGGAAAAGAATCTGTGTTAGAAGCCTAAAATTTTAGTTACAAATGACCAATGACCTCCTCAAACAAACTGGATTTGACAATTTTACAGGGAGACGATAGCCGTATTTACACTAGAGGACGTCTAAGACGTCTTAGACGACTTAGACATCTAGTAAAAATACGGGAAATAAGGCAGACGCATTAAACATCAGACGAATAAAACGTCTGAAGTTAAGTGCGTCCGATCGACGCACTTAACAGATGAATAAGTCGTCTCAGACATTTAGGACGTCTAGTATAAAAACGGGACGCACTTAACGACGCATTTAACAGTGCGACGTTCAGAATGTGTCTGGACGTCTAAGACGTCTTCTAGTATAACTACGGCAAATGTTGCCGCCTTTGCCGGGAGGTTGTGCTCTCGCCGCAATCGCTTCGGCCCCTGCTAGCATCATACAAAGTGTTAATTACTTCTTTGACCACAACCACACCTGTGGTTTGTTAAATATTTCAGCATTACATGTTCAATATGGAATCCAGGCATTTGCTAAATTCAAGCATCCAGAATGCACTAGATTGCATCTCAACTTCAGTCTCAAAAATTTTCCCGGAGGAACATGCGCCCGAAACTTAGTAGAAAAGTGCGCCGTTCGCAGTCCTGATGGGTGCTGTCGCGCCCATATTGCCACTCTACTCTATATCTCTAGGCCCCCTCTATCACAAAATCCTCCGTCCGCCTCTGATTCCAAGGAGAAATTTGTCACTCTCAGGGCTTGATTAATGGGTTAAAAATATAGTGATATAATCTCGCATTTGTTAGCTGTTCTTCCATTGAGTAGCCATCGCAAGAGCTCGCCGGACAACAACTTGATAATCTGTTTTTACAAATTTTTTTACTCGCCACGCGCGGCCCTGAGGAAAGAAGGACCACCGCTCGCGGTCTAGGTGCAATCAAGTATATTGATCATGCGAGTAAATTGCGAGCGCAGTGTGAGGCGGTACTCGACAAACCTGGGCTCACAGTTTACAGGCAGCACGCAGACATCATATTGTGTCGACGAATGAGAGTCGTTGGCTGTTCTGTGTGTTCGTGGGGGGTCTGTGCATGTTCCAAGGGCGAGAAATGGAGAAAAGAGATTGTTGGTGTGTCGGTTCCAAATCTGCTTCATCTTGAAACGTCAAAATAGCATCCGAGCGCGCCATGCGCCAATTAGTATGTTTGCGTTACAAATAAACAGTACTATGCAAAAGTTCCGCCGAAGAGGTTTCATTCAGGAATGGAAAAACCAAAGGATTTCTTACAAAAGTGACTTCGTGTGAGAAATCAACTCCCCATAACTCAGTGTAGGATAAAAAGGATTATGATGCTTTATGGAGAAAGGCGACGCACTATAATCTACGATTACTGCTAGTAGGCTTTATAATGACAGATTCCCCGAGAATCCGTGTCCCCTTGCCTCACGCTTCGCACTTTGATCTTTTCAAAGGTAAATACCGCCAGTTTGGCGATCTACAATCTGGTGAGGAAATTCTCTTCTCTTGTATACCTTCTTCCTTTCATTGGACTCAAAAAATAGGGACTTGTTTAAAGTTTACATGGGTCGTCGAAGATTGCCTTTGCTACTTGCTGTCAGCCAGGGCATTTGTACCGATTTCTTGGAATAGGTTGAAAAACGAAGTAAAGAAACACATTTTTTATTAATGTTTCAACCTTATTTTAATTGTTATTGCTTACATCCCGTATTAATCTACAGCGAACTTTTCTGGCGCCTTATAGTGCCAGCAGAACAGATAACGCAGTGTGGCTTAAGTCTAGTTTAAAGTATATACTGATTTAACCATTATTATTTGGTTTTCGTAGCTCATTGGCATGGTAGCCATGCTACTGTAAAAGGTATCTTCCCGTCACTTGGTGCACACAGCGCATGTCAACTCTCGACCGCTGACATAAGGAAGACATGGGAGTGAGCCACAAACACCTTCCACAGGGTACAGCAATGCACCATCCTTGTTTACTTTGCTACCAGGAACATACTCCGGGTCCTCGTCAACACAGATGAAATCACGTGAATGCTTGTGGCCATAATATTCTGTCATTAGGTACCCATGATACTCCTCGGTCCATCCAGATGGACAGTCATTCCTGGCAGGCATCATCAGCATCGAGCCACGTGACTTGACGAAGCAGACAACACATGTTGCTTCATGATCGTGGAGATTTCTCTTAAAAGGGTTACCGCTGTACTGATGCACTTCATATTCAGTGCCGTACACGTATCCAGCCATCTGATGGCCATCTTTGTACTTGTCATACTTTGGATTGTGTGGAAGGCAAAGGTAGTTCGCTCCACCACCAGGGTGATTGTAGTATTCTCCACCCATTATACCTGATACAAGGAAAAAAAAATTATCAGCACTTATTCTTGGAAATTCTGTCAACTCGCCAAATTAATTAAAAGCTTTCCTTTTCCGCTCTTCGCAAGAAGTGAATGAAATGGCGGCTAGCGGTTGAGGGAGGCAAAACGTCTTTTCTCTCTCCTGGTTATTTGAAATGAAGAATTTTCGCAAACATTTGCTTTCATTTTCTTTCGTCAAAAATTTAACTTTGATTTCTAGGCAACTGAATTCCTCTTGTTAGGAAATGCTGAGTTAACAAAATGGCCTCATTTAGGGACCGGTCAAAAAGTATGGGGGGTGGGCCGGAGCATTTGGAAATGTGGTTGATAAAAAAAAACACATGACCCACCCCCTCCCTTCGGCACAAAAATGACTGACCCACCCCTAAAGCAAGGTTGGAAATTGCATGACCCACCCCCTAGTTAAAACATGGATGTTCGGTTTCCTCTTAATAATCCAATAAAACCTTGTTCTGTGCTTGACAAAATTTGTTGATACACTGCTACAAGCAATATCAAAATCACAGAAATCATACCTTTCACTGAAAAGACGAATGTGAAAAACCGAACATTTCTTGTTTCAATGGACGTTATGAGTCTTGACACAAATATACAGCAAAACGAGGGTATATTGAAATTATCTGTCACAAAGCATATGAAAATTTCAACAAAGACAACCCATTCCTACACATTACTTGCCGGAAATGCTTAGATTAATCCATGGAACTGCAATGGGCACAAAGACAGCAGTTTTGATTCCTTTGCCAATATTTTCATGACATATATTGAAACAACAACTCTAAGCAAAACTGTCTTTAGAACAACGGTTTGGAAATGCCACGTACACGATATCTTTTCCTTATGGGACATGAGTAAACCAGACATCGAAGCCTTCATTGAACAAGCAACCTTACATCACCTAACTATTGAATTCACTGCCGAAACATTTGACACTGAGACTGGGTTTTTAGACACGGTTGTATACAAAGGCACAAGATTCAAGGAAAAATCTATCCTTGATGCAAAGACACATTTTAAACAAACGGAAATCTTCTTCCACACACATTTCACCTCGTGTCACCCTCCAAATGTTAAAAAAGAATTTGTCAAAGGGGAAGCCTTAAGAATCCTTTGAAAAAACTCCTCAGAAACAACCTTTGAGGAAAATAATTCAAATTTAAAAAAAAAACGCTTGACGGACGGAGGCTACCCACAATCTTTCAGGGGCACCCAAAATGCAACGTCCATTTTCGGAAAATATCTGTTCGAAAGACGATTTGAGATCTAGAATTTTCGGAACATTTGTTGTAAAATTTCTTGCTTGTCTGCCCCTCCTAGGATTGTCGAACATCTAAAAAAATGGTATAATTGCCCATTTTTAACGGACTTTTACTCTAAAAAGGTCACCTAGAATTTTCGGGGGCCTTTTTTCTGGCTGAAATTTTCGAAAAGGTAAGTTTTGATCCCTATAATTTTCGTATCACTAGACTTTCAGCTAGCAGATCCGAACAGATGAAAACTTTTTAGGGGATAAAAATATGCGTATATCTACTGTTTAAATACTAAAATACGTTTAACAATGCTATGTTTAAGTGGTTTTGAACTATATTCTCGTTGGGTGCCCCCTATCTTTGATAGAAAACCTACTATCGGAAATAAAATTCACAAAATGGAGTCTAAACTCCTAAAACAAAACAACAAGGAGGAAAAAGAAATATTGTCATTCGTGACACAATACCGGCCCTCAGTGCCTACTATAAAGGAAGCTAGAATGAAAAAATGGAATCTTATATAAAACTAACTGTAACTTCAATAAATTTTAAAAGAAACACCAATCATTTCCTTACAAAAAAGGAAAATCGTTAAAGGACATGCTCGTTAGAGCCAGAAAAAAAAGGGTTGACAGAGGGTTCCACGCCCGTATAGATGCGCGGTCTGTCAACCTTTGTATTTTCTCGCACAACAGGTTTGTGAGTATTTTAGCAATAATTCCAGCTGGCTGTGTTTTATATAACAAGTGTAGTCAACCGTCTCGTTAGTAGTTAGTAAAAAATAGGGTGACCCACCCCCTGAGGGTAGCTGAAAATTGCACGACCCACCCCTTGCACAAGGCTCAAAACCTCATGACCCACCCCGTCTCTGCTCCGGCCCACCCCCCCATACACTTTTTGACCAGTCCCTTACTCGAGTGAGCTGTTATTGCAAGCGAAAAACATTCTGCCAAAGTAAATCGGAACACGCAGTTAAAATAATTTGAAATCCTCTCTTACCTTCAAAAACCTCAACCCTAGGATTCTGTTGATTAGTTCTTACTCAGAAAATTGGAAAAACGCCTAGTTCACGCAATATCGCTAGGAGGTGAAAATTCCTGGATTGTCAAAGATAAGAAACTAATCAGATTGCTTAAACACTAAGACCACAAACCACAAACGGCTGTAACAATTTTAGGCCAAAATTTAATACAATACTCTACTCATTGTCTGCCTATTTCTATTGATCACTAAGAAGAAAAGCGTACTTGACTACAAATTTATGAAAATACATTTCAGCAAGTGGTAACCATTTATGCTTCATGGGTGATTATTCAAGGTTCATGGATCCGATCGACGACATAGACTGTAAAAAAAACTTTATGCGGGATACAGTTTCATGTGATCTCGACGTAAATAATGCGGTGAGAGCGCGCATTGTTGGGAAAAACAAGGGGCGTTTTCTCATACCCAGATTTCACTCTGTCTTATGCACGAACCAGTTACACTGCTGGAAAGATGCAACAAAAAGATAACTTGAAGAGATGCCCGGGTCATTGACCAGTAAAAGTAACAAGCTTAGAGAAATTTCATAGTTGCCACTTTTAAATATGACTCAGAATAAGTGGCATAAAAATCCTCAGCTTATCACTCTTTCTGTATTTAGAATCATGGCATAATAGTAACTATCATGTAAGCTTCTTTTTACATACCTTTATAAACTACTTGCGCACCACTAGGACATGTGGTCCTTCCCCAGCGAACGTATTTCACTCCTGAATTCCCAGATCCATCCCTTCCCTTTTCTCCTTTTGCACCCTGTGGTCCCTGAGCGCCAGTCTTCCCAACTGCTCCCTGGTCTCCTTTAGGACCAGGAGGGCCTGGGAATGACTTGTTGGTTCCTTGTTTTCCCTGTTCTCCTACAAAGTATAAAAACGACCCCAAGCACTCAGCCTCGACTTATTACATCATTTGGCTCAAAATTCGGGCTGTTATGAGACTATTTTTTCCTATGGGATTCTGACGATTATAAATCAAGCATATAACGGTTCAAAAATGGCCGGCTTGCAAAAGACCCAAAAACACCATGAAAAAGAAACAAGATGTTAGCTGAAATTCGATTAATGGAACTTATTGTTTACAGCTAACCAGGTGGCTAACTTGTAAATGTTGGTATGTTAAAAGAGGAGTTTCTTTTCCTCTTTTTCCTACATACACAGTTGGTGTTATAAAAGCTTCAGTTTTTCCCTTGATCTCTATGACGTTTGTCCTTGATACCTTTTGATCCTTTTGGTCCAATTGGTCCTGATTTCCCAGGAGCACCAGCAGGCCCCTGTTTCCCAGAAGCACCAGCAGGTCCCTGTTTCCCAGGGATACCAGCAGGTCCCTGTTTCCCAGGAATACCAGCAGGTCCCTGTTTCCCAGGAGCACCAGCCTGTCCCTGTTTCCCAGGAGGGCCAGGTGGTCCAACTCGTCCCTTTCCGGAGTTCTGCATATGTTGTCCTGAAAAAGAAACATGCTGATGTCAAAACCCCATTGCCGATGCTTTTTCGCTTAGAAAGTTCCCCCCTCCCCAACTCCACCAATATTTTTTTTTTTTTAAGGAAAAAGCCCCGGGAAAGAGGTTGGATGATGCCACTCACAAATAAAGCAAATTTACCAGCCAAATGAATTACATACCGGTTCTTGGGCCACATTGTTGCTTACGAATTCTAAAACACTAAATCACCGACAACATAAAATCGCTTATTTTAAGTTTTTAAAAGAACTGAAGTTTTAGGGAAAAACACCTGAATTGAATATTTCCGGCTGTTCCTGTTGCCTACTGATATTAATGAAACTCGCTAGTTGCTTACAGGTAGTTTGGTACTAGTTTGCAATAGGATTGAACAACATATTTTACCAAGAATGTAGGTCAAAAGTGACCCGTAAGATTCCCCCGCTGGTCGAGGAGATAATCGCAGTAAGCCATCAAATCTGCAAAAAAGAGTCAAACATAGAAATTGTCAGGGACAGTGTAACGGGGACCTTCGTGTCTTTAGCCCTAGTTCAACCACCAGTTCAGCCTTAATGCGGCTTGAATTTAACTTTACAAGAGTCAAGCGTTGTTATATTTTCGTGGTGTTTGCTACCCTTCTTCTGCTCTAGGAAATTAGTGCGTGGATGAAAGGAAAAAATCTGTAATCCAGTCAGTTTATAGATAATCAACAATTACTCTGGTCTTTACACTGAAGGATATTCTATTCTGGATCTGAAAACTGATCTTCCCACATAAGCCGCGGGCTGCAAGTCTTCAACATCCATCACTGCCGGCCAACATGCAAAGCGTTTTCCTGTTTAAAGGGGGTATCCAGGTACTTTTATAATAGGGAACCCAAGCCTATGCACAGTTTTGAAACTGTTTTAAAGGCTTATAATATCCCCCTTCCTGACCTCAGGAGTCGCCGTTACACATTTTAGTTGCCAAAAGCACATGCTTCGTTAGACAAGAGATTGAACAGATTTCCCCCAGTATGCAATGATAGTTTCAGAATCGAAGTAATTTAGTTTAAAAAAGCAATTATATTAACAAAGGTGAATTTTTAATTTCATTTCTCAAACCTTTTCTCCAGTTCATGAAATCTTCTGATCATCATTCGAGACAAACGTATGCTGTTGTTGTGGCTTGGCAAGGAAGAGGAAATGAGGTTAGTAAATCCATCATTTTACAAACGGTGTGAACATTGTAACCGATGAACAGTGTCTAATAGAATGTTCCTGTGGTCTCGAATTAACTGAGTTCTCAAAATGAGATAGCAAATCGCCGAGCTAACATAATACCTTTAGCTACCTTTCTTCGAGATCTTTCAGCCGGTTTGCAAAGTCCGCCAGATTGGGAGTTCGGTTATTTTTCACCGTTCTTCGATCACGGAACGGCAGCGATTGTTGTCCACCAACTTCAGTGCCTTCAGTAGATACGCGATCTTCTTCTCGCGGTTTCCGCGCCAGTTTATCATCAAGAGCGAGGATATGAACCAGACCAGTACAGAACATCACTGTCACAGCCAAGAAACGTATGGTCGAGCGAGGTGTAACCGCTAGAGACAATTTCATTTTAAAGGAAAGATCTTTTGAAACAGAAAACAACCTTTTGTCTATCCTCCACAAAAAGGTGTTACGTGAAGTCAATATCGAAGTTCGGAAGGTACGAAAATTCGGACGAGAAATTTTTCGCGCTTGTGACGTAGCATCTAAGGCCATCATGATGATCGGAAGGCGGATGTGAGCTTGCAACAGACTTAAATATGCAAGAACAATGAGTAAACAATCTACTATAGTATCGGTATAGTCATATTAAGTTTGTAGACGGCACATACGGACAAACTCAGTGTTTCATAGCAAGATTAAGCATTTTTGCTACACAAGAAGCCTGGCCCAGTCTGAATCCGGTCGGTAGCGTTAAAAGTGGAGGTTAAGTTAAGTATTGGAATCTGTACCGAGTATATCTTTACTTCTGCCGGCCACTATATGTGTAAAATCTGTTACTAAATTTGCATGTTAAGCTTATTTATTTGAGCCTCCGGCAATTTTTTTGATTGTGAGGTTTCAAGCTCTCCATTCGGGCTCGGGCGAGAATGCATGTCCGTAACTTTTCATTCACCGCGGGAGAAAGTTTATGATAAGATTTGTTCTTTTGTGACTCTATATCCTGAATTTTGTATATCTGCCGTAAATCTGAAATTGAGTATCACAGAAATTTATGCCAATCGACAGCGACTTTTTACCCTAGCGACTTTCCGCGACAGCGATATTTTTTCCTAACCTACAACGCGACAGGCACCCTCAGGAAACAAACAAAGCCAGAGCATTTACCCCCCTTTGAAGGTCTCTTTCATGATTTACCCCAGAGAGGGAGAGAGAGAACTTATTGCTTAAACACAGTCATTGACATGAATCATCTCAGCTAGGTGGCAAATAAAGAAAATCATTCAATTAACACAGCTTTGAAAGAGTATTAATGACTCTGAGTTCTTTTGTTTGTAAACGGATCTAAAATTTACTCTGCTTAGTCGGTCGTAGTGATAAAAAAGAACTCGCTTTGTGTTAAGTCTAAACATACAAAATTTGTCAAATTTAATTCTGCAAAATTCGGTGGCACTTATAGATGACACAACTTTGGTGCGGCTGTCGTAGGTAAAATCCTTTCTTGGGTTGAAGCAGGATTCTCTTTGTATTTGCTGAATTAAAGGAAACTGAATCAAACTACAGAAACTACGCTGAATACTAACAGCGAAATTTACCTTCAAGGACATGGCCACGTGTCATGCTCAAAGGCAGGAGGGAATTGATCAAGATCGGCTCTGTTCTTTCGTATAAATCATATTCCTCTCAAGTATATTTCTGATTTTTCGTTCTCTGTCTCTCCGGGGAACTAGGGATTAGAATCCTGGAAAAGATCTTCCTCTGTTACTATAATCCATTTAGTACAACTCGGCAACTACGCCCTATATACACACTGCTTAGTTATCCAGGCGGTTTAGAGTGTCTTGCGACCGCGGCAGGCTAGCCCCGTTGGGACGGCGAGTTATTTTTTGTAATCCAACAACAATAACAATATTATTATTAACTTACAACATTTCTAGAGATAACTCCTATTCCTTGTTTTTCTGAAGATGTTTACCAGCTTCTTAAGTTGAATGTTAGACACTCAGTATTTGAAAGGCTGCCCTGAAATTAATTAACAAAGCATGTATATGCTAATGACAAATTTACCATCTTTACTGGTAGAGGATATAGGGAAAAAACAATTGGTTTCATAACAGATGACAAAAGTCTGTGAGGCACAGTCATGTTTTTGAAATAGAGGAATAAAACCTTGCTTAATTTAATGCCTACCAGAATTATTATCTCAAATTTCAGTGCCTAATTCAAGTTGGAATCTGCAGCTCTAACATCTAAATTCATGTCTTGAAAGTCATGAATGCAATGTTTAGAACTTAAGGAGTGTTCTATGTTAGGAAGAATGATTTAGAATTTACAACCCGAATAGTTAATTAGTATATACACTGAAAAACATTTTTGCTGTTGAAATAATTAATAAACAACATCAGTGCTTGGGACTGACAATGCTGCACAATATTTTGACACTCAACCCCCAACCACAGTTTACTTTTCCACTTGAAAAATAATTTTCTGCCTAAACTCAATTTTTCCATGGCATGTAACATTTTTCAATCAGCTGTAAGTTATTTTTCCTGTCCTTTCCCTTAAATTGATGACCACAATCGATCTAAGTAAAAGTGTATCAGTATAAGGTTCTGCTGCCCACCTACCCTTCCTAAGTATGAAGTTGGCTGATTCATATTGTGACAAACTTTAAGCTGTTTTGAAAATCATAAAAGCAAAGGAAACTTTGAACCACAACATCGACACATTTCTGATTCAGGCTGTATTCGCTTTGGCTCGCTCAAGCTGAAATGTTTATGTTGTTTTCCACTAGCTATAAAAGTCCCTTTCCATTGTATCTGAAAGTTTTATACTTACAATTATACGGTTATCCTCCCATGGTTCAGATGGTTCAGAAATAAGTTGAGCCCAAACCTGAATGCCCACGAAAAAACGAAAAGATATCATTTAATCTTGAGTTTATAAAAACTTTAACGACTGTTAAACTAGGCGCCAAACACCGTTATACTGAGAACCGTCAATTTGTTTGTAAAATATTACCTCAATTGTTTCCCCTTTGTCTAAAAAATAATTAGACTTGAAGTTATCGGGTAGTGCCTCGAGTTGAGTGAAAATAGTAATAGAGAAGAAATCTGAATAAACCAGACATTTTTACCGACACATGAACCTCACAAAGCTTGATGATTTCACTTAGAAATTTCAGAGAGCAATTTATAACTTGAATGTAAAATTCATGTTTCATGTAAAATTTCCTTTCATTACACTGACCTTGAGGCAATTTCCACCGACCAAAGGGTTACTTTTAAAACGAGATAACTTTAACAGTGCAAAACTGAAGAATTTGATGCTCAATGGAACATCATGGCTTCGCAAAACGAGAAGGGGCTGGCACGGGGCGAGTAGTAAACTGAGCAGAAGTATTTTATGCGATGTTAGACTGTCACGATATCATGGACTGGAGAAAACGCCGATCCCAATCTCCAAAGTAAAGTATGGTAGCTATCCTTCAAAAAATATTCCATACTTTATCCATTTGTTGTCCCGTACACGTTTTCTGCAGAATAAGTGGTCGTACGCTACCAATAAGCGGTCTTGCGCTACCAATTGCTTTGGAATCTATACATAGCAGAGCTGCTTGAGTCATATATAACCTGCCCCGAGACTTACCCTCTGTAGACGTTCGAAAATCGATCAGGTGGGACTTGTTATTTGACATGTACAAGGCCAAGATAGCCACTTTAATTTATAAAATATTTCATCGCATGACTCCATCATGCTTAGAACGTCTAATCCAGAGGCGAAAGAACAAGTACGACTTGTGTCATCAGCATCGCGTAAGTGTTTCGTGTTTCGAAACGTACAACATGAAGAACTCCATCTCGTACAGAGGATCCCATGCTTGGAACTTGTTAGATCCCTCCCTGGCTGACACAAGAGCCTACGCTAAAATGGCCATAAACTCTCAAGCCCTCAAAAATCTCAATTTCTCAGCTGAATCACCCCCTGCAATGAATATGTTCAATGACAGTGATTTCGTCTTTCATTGACTAATAATCAATATAATAATACTGATACATTTATATTTTTTGGATAACACAAGAATTGAGTACTTTTTTACTTTTTAGGTATAGATTTTTTAATTACAATTATGTATTTTCATTAGCATGTTTTTAATAATATGTACACGGCCCCATAAACTGTATTAGCTTCAATTTTAACTGCATGTGTTTAAATAAAAGTTGTTGTTTTTAGTGGGAGAATTTGTTGAAGTTTTAATTAGATTTATTGTTTTTGATCATGTCCCTTCATTCTCGTCACCAATGTGTAAAATGTGTCGTATTCAAAGGAGAACTTTGTTGTTCATCACTGTCAGGGCTTAATGAGGTAAAAATATAGTGATATAATCTCGCATTTGTTAGCCGTTCTTCCATTGAGTAGCCATCGCAAGAGCTCGCCTGAAAACAATTTGATAACCTGTTTTTACAAAATTCGCCGTCCCGTCCCCTACCAGGTAGACTGCGAGCAGTCTCTTATTTTTCTTTTGAATCACAGTAGTTTTACTTTTTCACTCACCGCGCGTGGCCCTGTGGAAAGAAGGACCACCGCTCGTGGTTTACCTACCAGGTGTAACTACCAGGTGCAATCAAATATACTGATCATGCACGTAAATTGCGAGCGCAGTGTGAAGTGTACTCGACAAACCTGGGATCACAGTTCACAGGCAGCGCGCAGACGCCTTATAGGCTTTACGAAGACAAATCAGACGGACAGATTCCCCCGAGAATTCGTGTCCCCTTACAACGCGCTTCGCGCCTTTATCTCGTCAACGCCAAATAACGCCTGTTAGGCGAGCTAAAATCTGGTGAGGAAATTCTCTTCTCTCTTGTATGCCCTCTTCCTTTCATGGACTTCAAAAACAGGGACTTATTTAAAGTTTACATGGGTCATCGAAGATTGGCTTTGCTACTTGCTGTCAGCCAGGGCTTTTGTACCGATTTCTTGGAATAGGTTGAAAAACCAAGAAAAGAAACACATTTTTTATCAACGTTTTCACCTTATTTTAATTGTTATTGCTTACATCCCGTATAAATTCACAGCGAACTTTTCTGGCTCCTTAGTGCTAGCAGACCAGATAACGCAGTTGAAAGTATATACTGATTTAACCATTATTATGTAGTTTTCGTATCTCATCGGCATGATGGCCATGCCACTGTGAGAGGTATCTTCTCGTCACTTGGTGCACACAGCGCATGTCAACTCTCGACCGCTGACATAAGGAAGACATGGGAGTGAGCCACAAACACCTTCCACAGGGTACAGCAAAGCACCATTCTTGTCGGCATGGCTACCAGGAACATACTCTGGGTCCCCGTCAACACAGATGAAGTCGGTTGGATGTCTGTGGTTATGATATTCAGTCATCAGGTACCCCTTATACTCCTTGATCCATCCAGACGGACAGTCATTCCTAGCGGGCATCATCAGCATCGAGCCACGTGACTTGACGAAGCAGACAACGCATACTGCTTCATGATTATGAATATTTCTCTTAAAAGGGTTTCCGTTGCGATCATATACTTCATATTCAGTACCGTACATGTATCCGGAAGCCTGATGGCCATTTGTGTACTTGTCATACTTTGGATTGTGTGGAAGGCAGAGGTAGTTCGCTCCACCACCTTGGTGAGTGTAATGCTCTCCACCCATTATACCTGATACCAGGCAAAAAATTTATCATTTAACAATTATTCTTGTTACTTCGTGGGTAGTTTTTTGTTTTTTAATTTCTTCTGTCAACTCGCCAAGTTAATTAAAAGGTTCCTTGTTCTGTTCTTCGCAAGTGCATGAAATGGCGGCTAGCGGTTGAGGGAGGAAAGGGGTCTTTTCTCTGTTCTGGTTATTTGAAATGAAGAATTTTCGTTAACATTTGCTTTCATTTTCTTTTGCCATACTCGATTAACTTTAATTTCTAGGCAACTGAATTCTCTTTGTAAGGAAATGCTGAGTTGACAAAATGGCCTCATTTACTCGAGTGAACTGTTGTTGCAAAACGAAAAACATTCTGCCAAAGTAAATCGGAAAACGCCGTTAAAAAAGTTTGAAATCCTTTCTTACCTTCAAAAACATCAACCCTAGGATTCTGTTGACTAGTTCTTACTCAAAAAATTGGCAGAATACCTAGCTCATATGCAATATCGCTAGAAGGTGAAAATTGCTGGATAGTCAAAGACAGAGCGAGCTTATCGAATTGCTTGAAACACGAAGACTACTAACCACAAATGGCTGTAACATTTTTGGGCAAAAATTTAGTCATAATTGTCACTTTTAGATAAGGATCAACACGTCGCATAAAAATTTTCAGTTTATCACTCTTTCTGTCTTTAGAATCATGGGAGTAAATATAAAAACTATTAGGTATACTAAAGCTCCTTTTCGCTTACCTTTATAAACTATCTGCGCACCACTAGGACACGTGGTCCTCCCCCAGCGAATGTACTTCACCCCTGAATTTCCAGCTCCACCCTGTCCTTTTTCTCCTTTGGCACCCTGTGGTCCCTGGGCTCCAGTCTTCCCAACTGCTCCCTGGTCTCCTTTTGGACCAGGGGGGCCTGGGAATGGCTTGTTAGTACCTGGTTTTCCTTGTTCCCCTAAAAAGTATCAAATGACTCAAAGCGCTTGATCCCAGCTTTATGACTTATTTTAGTGCTCAAAAGTGGAATCCATAAAAGTGTTTTTTTGCTATGGGTTCCTTACAATCCACATTGAATTTCACGCGTGTAGGGGTTGAAAGCTGGCCGGCTTGCATTAAGACCCTCCATGATCATTAACTGCAAGAGCCGTAAAAGAATACGTTGTCAGAATATAACTGAGATGCCAATTTAACAGTTTTCTTCACAGCCGGCTAACTTCTAATTGCTGGAACGTACAAACTGAACTTACAAAACGGGTTTCATTTGCTCTCGCCACTGCGTTCAAAGTTGGTGTTATAGGCGAACCTTTCTTGGCGTCATTGTTACATGTTTGCTTATTAGCATACGAGTTAACCCATAGAAGGCGTTACCGATGTACAAAAGTGAGAGAGTTGGACCTGCGAAATTGCTGGGTGGCAAAAACGTTAATGAGCCCATACATTCTTTGTAAAGTTTCGACTTTTTCATACATAATTTTTCTGAAACAATTCGATGTATCGAGGTTAAATTTTCACAGATAACTGAAATTGTTGTGCTTGTTTGATATTCAGACAGTTTATTTTAATTGCTTGATCACAAAGAATGTAAAGCACATGCTGATGAGGCAAAAAATGTAAACAAAGATTCGCCTGTACAATTTTCATTTTTTCTTTGATCTTTTGGTCGTTTACCCTTTTCACCTTTTGATCCTTTTGGTCCAGCTGGCCCTTGTTTCCCAGGAGTACCAGCCGGTCCCTGTTTCCCAGGAACACCAGTCGGCCCTTGTTTCCCTGGAGGGCCGGGTGGTCCAACTCGTCCCTTTCCAGGGTTTTGCATATGCTGACCTGAAATAGAAACACACCGGTGATATCACAGGGGCACCCAACGAGAATATAGTTCAAAACCACTTAAACATAGCATTGTTAAACGTATTTTAGTATTTAAACGGTAGATATAAGCATATTTTTATCCCCCCAAAATTTTTCATCTGTTCGGATTTCCTAGCTGAAAGTCTAGTGATCCGAAAATTATAGGGATCAAAACTTACCTTTTCGAAAATTTCAGCCAGAAAAAAGGCTTCCTAAAATTCTAGGCGACCTTTTTATGGTAAAAATCCGAGATCATGCGTGGGGTCGGTGTGCGGTGGCACGTTTTGTGAGGAGCGTAGTTTCTGTCCCTTTACGCCAATTTTAGAGAACTTTATACCGCCTTGACATAATAATTCAACGTTTAAATACTTGCTGAAGTATTAAATGCAGAAATTAGGAGGAAAACACAAACGAGGAGCTCGAGGATCAGTGGAAGAAGAAGAACCATCGACACTTAAAAGAGCCAACATGGCGGAATGTCAAGAGGAAGAGGCCGCGGAGTTAGTGGAAGCGACAAATGAAGCAATAAACGCCGAAGGTGAGCCCAGTAATGCAGAACTAAGGGAGATGTTGGTAGACATTCAAATAAATACTGCAACTATCCTACGCGAAAACAAAACAATCAGAAGCGAAATGACCGATCTCAAGCGCACAATTCAACACCAAACAGACGATATAACTGCGTTGAAATCATCTCTAGAACATATAACGAAGCAGTACAACGAGGTAGAACGCGGGCTGGTGGCAGCAAGAAAGAAAATTCAAGAGCAGGAAGAAGAAATTGGTGAATTGTACGATCTTCAAGACAAACTAGAACAATACACGAGGAAAAACTCAATAGAAATACATGGTGTACCAGAAAGCGCCTACACCGAGACGGAAGACGTGGTGTTAAAATTAGCGGAGGCCCTAGATGTATCGGTGGAACCAAAGGATATCGAAATATGTCACAAGCTGAACAGGAAGGGTAACAAACCAATTATTGTAAAATTTATAAGCCACAAGGTCAAAACAAATCTATACAGGGCTAGGGCTAAGCTAAAAAATGTCAGAGTTTCTAACATCTTCCCGCAGTGCTCGTCGTCAACTCTAGTGCAAGCCGACAGAATTTTTTTAAACCAGAATCTTACCTCGTACAGGAAAAAAATAATGAATCGGGCAAACGAGATGCGGAGAAATGATGAATTGTTGAGTGTCTGGTCAATGGATGGATCAATATATGTCAAGACCTCTCCGCAGGGTAAGCCGGTCAGAATTAACGAGCTGGAAGACTTAGATTATCTTTAAATGTCCAATCGTCTGGCCAAGGAAGACAAAAACTGTAACTTACAATTGGGACAGGAACAAAAAACGCAAAGTTCGGAGAAGAAGAAGGGAAACGCTCAAAAACTACTTTAATTTACGTTTTGTATAATTTTAGTTTTGTTTGCTTCTGTATTTTTTTTTTTTTTTTTTTCTTTTAAATTTGCATATATATTCTTCTTTTTTTTTTTTTTTTTTGTTTTTATTGTAATGCAAGAGAAAGCAAAATACGATATACTTTCTCTAAACGTAAGGGGAATAAGAGATCAAGCCAAACGGAGGAGCATTTTTCTATATCTCAAAGATCATAACTCAAAAATTTATTTCTTGCAAGAAACTTACTCTCAACCAGAAGATGAAATTATTTGGAAAAACGAATGGGAGGTGAAATATTTTTCTCTCACGGATCCAGGCATAGTAAAGGTGTTTGCATTCTTTTACACCCTACGGTACAAAATAAGATCGATTACTCATTCAGTGACAAGGCTGGAAGAATCGTGCTAATTACTTGTGTTCTGAATTCTCTAAAATTATCACTGGTGAATATTTATGCCCCGAATAGCCAAAGTGAACAATTAGATTTCTTACAAAACTTAAACAATTGCCTTATCGACAAGTCAGAAATTTCCACGCTTATTGTAGGAGGCGACTGGAATTGCACACTATCAAAGATAGATAAAATTGGTGGCACAATTTGAAACCAACAAATTATCGAAACCTGATTTTGACAACTATGGACGCTTTCGATCTCGTAGATATTCAAAGATTACGTCACCCGAGGCTACGTAAATACTCTTATGAATCAAAAGTGTTAAAACTGAAATCCAGAATAGACTTTTTCCTAGTTGCCAAAAATCTGACACAACATGTGAAGAAAAGCGAAATTTATCCTTCTATAGCACCGGATCACCGAGCAATTTACATTTCTTTGTCTTGGACAACTGAAAAGTCTAGAGGACCCGGACTTTGGAAATTCAACAACACGTTACTGAAAGATGAACATTATGTGTCCAAAATCCGTGAAACGTACTCCCGCACACGCGCTTTTTACTCCAATTTGGCAGACGCACGCCTTCTTTGGGAAATGTTAAAAATGGAAACCAGAGCGGCAACCATTGCTTATAGTAAAAAGAAAGCTAAAGCGACCACTAATAGAGAATTGGAAATTAGGAGACAGCTCGAAATTCTGGACCGCAATATTTGCGACAACTTTAACTCTCCCAATATCGCGCACATCCTAAATGAATATGAAGATCTCAAAATGGAACTCCAATCTATTTACGAGGAGAAAGGGAGGGCAGCTATTTTTAGATCGAAATGTCGCTGGGTCGAAAAGGGCGAACGTCCAACAAAGTACTTTTTCAATCTGGAGAAAAGAAACTACAACAGGAAAACCATCACTGAACTGCGAACAGAAAGTGAAACAGTAACAAACAACGAGTCTCAGATATTAGAAGCTATCGAAAACTATTATAGCGAATTGTACGCATCAGCAAATAATTCACAGGAAAATAATGTTGATGAATTCGCCGAACATTTAAAAATTCCAAAACTATCAGATGCAGACAGAGATAGAATAGAAGGTCCATTATCTTATGAAGAATGCAAAAAAGCTTTAGACACTTTTCAAAACAACAAAGCTCCAGGAGAAGATGGTTTCACGGTTGAATTTTATATATTTTTTTTTTTCGATCTGCTAGGACACGATCTTGTTGCTAGTTTCAATGCGGCCTATGATGCAAATGAACTCACCATTTCACAACGAAGAGGCGTTATTACTTTAATTCCCAAAGAAGATGGCTCGCTACTAGAACTTTCAAACTGGAGACCGGTAACACTGCTAAATGTTGATTGCAAGATAGCAACTAAGGCAATAGCAAGGAGAATAGAACCATTATTAACAAATCTAGTGCACACTGATCAAACCGGTTTTATCAAAGGAAGATATATCGGGGAAAATATTAGGCTAATAATCGACATAATGGAACATACGAAGTCAGAAAGCATACCTGGCATTCTAGTATCTCTAGATTTTCGGAAAGCTTTTGATTCTCTAGAATGGTCGTTCATGATGAAAGCACTGGATATATTCAATTTCGGAACAAGTATAAAAAGATGGATCAGTACATTCTATACAAAAATTGAGAGCGCGGCGATAAACAATGGTTTCATGACCAACTGGTTTAGACCGTCCAGAGGAGTGCGACAGGGGTGTCCCCTTTCTCCGTACTTATTTGTGCTTTCCACGGAGATATTATCCAGCAAAATCAGACAAGAACCAAGTATAACAGGAATCAAAATATTCGGGCACGAAATCAAATTGAGCCAATTCGCAGACGACACAAACCTTTTCTGTGCAGATTTGATCTCCGTTGAAAATGCTTTGAAAACGGTGGGAGATTTTGGGAGGCTAGCGGGTCTCAAGTTAAACATAAAGAAATCGAAAGCAATTTGGTTGGGAAAATGGGAAAAAAACAAAAGTTATCCTTTACAACTAAAATGGTTACATAGTCCGGTTCGCCTCTTAGGAATTCATGTCTCTTATGATGAGAAGGGTAACAATGAATTGAACTTTAATCTGAAAATACGAAAACTTCAAACAAAGCTGGATATGTGGAGATCTAGAGACCTCACACTATTTGGGAAGGTACTGATAATTAAGTCCCTAGGATTGTCACAATTAATTTATTCAGCTTCAATTCTTAATGTTCCCGAAGATATCGCAAGCACAGTGAAAACAAAGCTTTTTAGTTTCTTATGGAAAAACAAAAGGGATAAAATTAAACGAACTGGGCTCTATCAGGATCTGGGAAGAGGCGGAATACGTATGGTAGACATCGACATAATGTTTAAAGCTCTAAAACTAGCCTGGATTCCAAGATTACTGACTCCAGGGAACCAGAATTGGAAAACAGTTCCTGATTATTACCTAAGAAAATTCGGAGGTTTGAACTTTTTACTGAGATGTAACTACGATGCGAAATACATAAAATCTATTCCATTGTTTTACCGAAATATTCTAGTATACTTCAGTGAATTAAAAACTCTGTACAGCTTTGATCAAGCACAAAATATAATTCTATTCAACAACAAAGAAATACTTGTTGACAGTAAAACCTTTTTTATCAGGGAATGGTTTAAAAAAAGGTATCCTGTCAATACAAGATCTCTTACACAATACCGGTCAACCAATGACCTATCAGGAATTTACGAATAAGTATTCCTGTAAAACTAACTTCCTTCAATACTATCAAGTTATTAGCGCTATCCCAAAGCACCTATTAGCCAAAGCAAAATCAACGAAGCCAATTAATAAAGAGTTATATTCTGATAATAATCTTAGTTTACAATTAAATGAATCGATAACTCTATATCTGAACAAAATCAAGACTAGCGACTTCTATACGTTATTATGCACAAAAATCCACACAACAGGTCATTCTGGGCCACAGAGATGGAGCAAAGATCTTTCCTTGGATGAAGATAAATGGGAAAAAATATTCACCTCCCTAAAAACCGTCTGTAGAGAGACCAAATTAAAGGAATTTCAATATAAATTAATCCACCGAATTGTAGTCACCAAAAAGGAACTTTACCGCTATGGAATCAAGGAAGATGATGAATGTATATATTGTGGTGAAAAAGACTCTATCAATCATACTTTTAGAGATTGTCATTTCGTCAAGATTTTCATTCAACGGGTTATCAACTGGTTCAATATAGAAAACAAGATCAATTTCAACCCATCTAGCGAAGAAAGACTGTTCGGCATCCTCTCGGACTTACATGAAAAGGTACTAGTAAGGAAATTCAATTATACCATGTTGTTTATGAGATACTACATCTACGCCAACAAACTACACAACAAACCAATTCTCCTCCAAGACTTCGTTGGTAAAATGATAATTAAATACAGAATTGAAAAGCTATAAAATAGACATGAAAAGACATGAAAAGTAACTCCGCTGACCTTTTTTTTTTTTTTTTTGGGTGTTTATGTGGGTGTGGGTGTGCGTGTGATGTACTAGAATTGTAAGTAGTGTAACCATTGTAATTATTAGTAGTACGAGCATCGTATGGATGGTATTGTCAGTATAGCCAATATTGTAAATAGTGCAAGTATAGTGAATATTGTTAGTAGTATTTAGTTTCAGTAGTGTTTAGTACTGTAAACATTTAATATATGTCTGTAAGGCAAAAAATAAATAAAAAAAAAAAAAAAAAAATAAAATAAAAAAAAAAAAAAAAAAAAAAAAAAAAAAAAAAAAATGGTAAAAATCCGTTAGAAATAGGCAATTATACCATTTTTTAGATGTTCGAAAAGTCCTAGGAGAGGTAGGCAAGCAAGAAATTTTACAACAAATGTTCCGAAAATTCTACATTTCAAATCGTCTTCCGAACAGATATTTTCCGAAAATTGTCGTTGGGTGCCCCTGATATCACCCATAAATCACAGCACATTTACCAGCCAAATGGATTAAATACGGATTTTTGGCCATATCGTAGCTTACATACTCTATAACACTCAACTTTAAAGCTCAAAAATCACTTATTATTTAAGGCTGATGTTTTGGGAGAAAAAGCCTGTGATCCGCTAGTTGCTTTAGGAAACTTTCGATTGGATTGAACATCATATTTTACCGAGAAGGTAGCTCAAAAGTGACCCATAGGATTCCCCCGGTCGAGGAGATAATCGTAGTAAGCCATCAAGTCTGAAAAAAAGATCAACCATAAAAGATCTTAGAGACAGTCTAACAAGGACTTTCGCTGTGATGGGCTCACGCCATTTTCGCACTATACCCGATAGCTCTGGCACCGGCACGAAAACCATACGTGGCAGGGCTTCTTTTCACAGAAAAGAACGATAATTTTGGGGCAATTTCAGTATAAAAGGAGCAAGGCTATGTCGCGCCGATCTTTAAAATAGAGCGTAACATATCAAATAGGTCATGTGCCACCGGCGTTGTGCAGTGGACCTTTGTGGACGTGATTAAGTAGGAGCGAGGACTGGAATCTACTGAGACGGAAGTAAACATTTAGGGGGCCGAAATTTAGTTCCCAACCCCTCTCGGTCAGCTGCTTTGATGTGTGTGAACTTTCCAGTTCTGTGCCGTTGCTGTTGATACCATATAAACCCAACAGCTTTTCGCGTCCACACGAAAAGCTATCCGGTATAGAATGGAAATAGCCTTAAGCCCCAAGATCAGCCACCAGTTTAGAATAAATTCGGCTTGGTTTTAACTTTATTGCTATTTACAGCTGTTTATAATATTACTCTTCTTTTGCATTAGAAATTATTGCGTCGATGATATGAAAGTCTGTAATCAAGTCAGTTTATAGATAAAAGATAATCAACAATTAATAACTCTCAGGTACACTGAACGATGTTAGCCAGAACTTGGATGAAACTCTTCCCACACAAATCTTCCATTGCACAGCCATTAGTCCCGGCCATAATACTTGTCCGGCCTGGATAACAGGGACTTTCTTGGTTTTTCCCCTGAATTCTCTACCTCAAGAATCGCCGTTATTTTTTTGGGAAACAGGCGATCTGTCATGTTGCCATACCAAAAGAAGATACTTCGCTAGACAAGAAATCAAACGGGTTTCCTATGCAATCGGCCTCAGGAGTAACAATTTCAGAGGTACTTGTTAGTTTTTGAATAAGCAATCAGCATTAATGCAGTTAATTTTATTATTTCTCAAACCTTTTCTCCAACGCTTGAAATTGTCTGATCATCATACGTACGCTCTTGTTGTGGCTTAGTAAAAACGGTAAATGATGTTAGTAAATGCACCATTTTAAGGAAAGTTTGAGTTTAGGATAGTGGCACGTAACCGACATTGAACATTGCCCATGTGACAGAAAATGTAGCACTCGAAATGAGACAGCGAATCGCCGCGTTAAGATCATACCTTTCTTCAAGATCTTTCAGCCGGTTTACAAAGTCCGACAGGTTGGGGGTCGCGTTATTTTTCACCGTTCTTCGATCACGGTACAACTTTGATTGTTTTTCACCAACTTCAGTGCCTTCAGATACGCCATCTTCTTCTCGCAGTTTTCGCGCCAGTTTTTCTTCAAGTGCAAAAATGTGAACCAGAATAGCACAGAACATCACAGACACAGCCAAGAAACGCAGGCGAGTGCGAGGGGTAACCGCTGGTGATAATTTCATTTTAAAGGAACTTTCAGTCCTTGAAACAGAAAACAACCTTTTGTCTATCCTCCACAAAAAGGTGTTACGATGAAGTCAATATCGGAGCTCGGATGGTAGAAAAATGCGGACGAGAAATTTTTCTCGCTTGTGACGTAATATCCAAGGTCATCCAAGCTTGCAACCGACTTAAATATGCAAGGACAATAAGTAAACAATCTCCTACATTACCTGTACAGTCACATTAAGTTTGGAGACGTCGTATACGGACAAAATGTTTCAGAGCAAGATGAAGCATTTTGCTACACAAGAAGCCTGACCAAGTCTGAATCGACGGGTAGCGTTTGAAAGTGGAGGTTAAGTTAAGTATTGGAATCCGTACCGAGTATATCTTTACTTCTGCCGGCTACTATATAATGTCAAATCTGTTACTAAATTTGCATGTTAAGCTTATTTATTTGAGCCTCCGGAAATTTTTTTGATAGTGAGGTTTCAAGCTCTCCATTCGGGCTCGGGCGAGAATGCATGTCCGTAACTTTTCATTCATCGCGGGAGAAAGTTTATAATAAAATTTGTTCTCTTGTGGCTCTTTATCCTGACTTTTGTATATCTGCCGTAAATCTGAAATTGAGTATCACAGAAATTTATGCCAATCGACAGCGACTTTCTGCCCTAGCGACTTTCGGGGACAGCGATATTTTTTCCTAACCTACAAGACGACAGCAGGCAGCTTCAGGAATGACAAACAAAGCCATAGCATACCCTCCTTTGAAGGCCTCTTTCATGATTTACCCCAGAGAGAGAGAGAGAGCTTGTTGCTTTTAAGCAACAAGCTGTGTTTAAAAACACAGTCATTGACATGATTCATCTCGGCTAAGTGGCAAACAAAGAAAATCATTCAATTAACACAGCTTTGAACGAGTATTAATGAGTCGGAGTTCTTTTGTGTGTAAACGGATCTAAAATTTACTCTGAGAAGACTCAACTTTGGTGCGGCTGTCGAAGGTAAAATCCTCTCTTGGGTTGAAGCAGGATTCCCTGTATTTGCTGAATTAAAGGAACCTGAATCAAACTACAGAAACTAGGCTGAATACTAACAGCGGAATTTACCTTTGAAGGACATGGCCACGTGTAATGTTCAAAGACAGGAGGGAATTGATCAAGATCGGCTCTTTTCTTTCGTATAAATCATATTCCTCTCAAGTAAATTTTTGATTTTTCGTTCTCTGTCTCTCCGGGGGACTAGGGATTAGAATCCTGGAAATGATCTTCCTCTGTTACTACAATCCATTTAGTACAACTCGGCAACTACACCCTATATACACACTGTTAGTTATCCAGGCGGTTTAGAGTGTCCTGCGACGCAGGCTAGCCCAGTTGGGACGGCGAGTTATTTTTGTAATCCAACAACAATAACAATATTATTATGAGCTGCCATATAAATGTTTTGTACTTTAAGTTACAACATTTCTAGAGATAACTCCTGTTCCTTGTTTTTTTTTAAGATGTTTCCCAGCTCCTCAAGTTGAATGTTAGATACTCAGTATTTGAAAGGCTGCCATGAAATTAATTAACAAAGTATGTATATGCTAATGACAAATTTATCATCTTTACTGGTACAGCATATAGGGAAAAACAATTGGTTTCATAACAGATGACAAAAGTCTTTGAGGGACAGTCAAGTTTTTGATCTAGAGGAATAAAACCTTGCTTACTTTAATGCCAGCCAGAATTACTATCTCAAATTTCTGCCTGATTGAAGTTGGAATCTGCAGCTCTAACATCTAAATTCATGTCTTGAAAGTCATGAATGCAATGTTTAGAACTTAAGGGTGTTCTATATTATTAAGAATGATTTAGAATTCACAACCCGAATAGTTAATTGGTACATGCAAAAACATCTTTGCTGTTGAAATAATTAATAAACAACATCAGTGCTTGGGACTGACAATGCTTCACATTATTTTCATACTCAACCCCCGACCACAGTTTATTCCTCCACTTGAAAAATAATTTTCTGCCTAAGCTCAATTTTTCCTTGGCACATTTTTCGATCAGCTGTTATTTTTCCTTCCTTTCCCTTAAATTGATGACCACAATCGATCTAAGTAAAAGTGTATCAGTATCAGGTTCTGGTAAACATCTGCCCACCTAACCTTCCTAAGTATGAAGTTAGCTGATTCATATTGTGACAAACTTTAAGCTGTTTTGAAAATTATCAAAGCAAAGAAAACTTTGAACCACAACATCGACACAGTTCTGATTCAGACTGTTTTCGCTTTGGCTCGCTCAAGCTGAAAGTTTATGTTGTTTTTCACTAGCTATAAAAGTCCCTTTCTATTGTATCTGAAGGATTTATACTTATAGTTACACGGTTTTCCTCCCGTGGCTCCCATGGTTCAGGAATAAGTTGAGCCCAAACCTGGATGCCCACGAAAAAACGAAAAGATATCATTTAATCTTGAGTTTATAAAAACTTTAACGACTGTTAAACTACGCTCCAAACACTTTATACTAAGAACCGTCAATTTGTTTGTAAAATCTTACCTCAATTGTTTCCCCTTTGTCTAAAAAATAATTAGACTTGAAGTTATTGAGTAGTGCTTCGAGTTTAGTGAAAATAGTAAAAGAGAAGAACTGAATAAACCAGGCATTTTTACCGATAACATTAACCTCACAAAGCTTGCTGCTTTCACTTAGAAATTTCAGAGAGCAATTTATAACTTGAATGTAAAATTCATGTTTCATGTAAAATTTCCTTTCATTTCACTGACCTTGAGGCAATTTCCACCGACCAAAGGGTTACTTCTAAAACGAGATATAAACTTTAACATCTTTAACAGTGCAAAACTGGAGAATTTGATGCTCGATGGAACATCATGGCTTCGCAAAACGAGAAGGCACTGGCAAGGGGCGAGTAGTAAACTGGGTGGACAGTCAACAAACAGTAAGCTGGGTGACAAGTTTGTGCGTTTTTAAATTTTCATGCGATATCATGGACTGGAGAAAACGCCGATTCCAATCTCCAAAGTAAAGTATGGTAGCTATACTTCAAAAAATATTCCATACTTTATCCATTTGTTGTCTCTACACGTTTTCTTCAGAATAAGTGGTCTTACGCTACAAATAAGCGGTCTGGCGCTACCAATTGGGGGTGTGCCACCAATAAGAATGAAGTCAATGCTTTGGAATCTATACGTGGCAGAGCTGCTTGAGTCATATATAACCTGCCCCGAGACTTACCCTCTGTAGACGTTCGAAAATCGATCAGGTGGGACTTGTTATTTGACATGTACAAGGCCAAGATAGCCACTTTAATTTATAAAATATTTCATCGCATGACTCCATCATACTTAGAACGTCTAATCCAGAGGCGAAAGAACAAGTACGACTTGTGTCATCACCATCGCGTAAGTGTTTCGTGTTTCGAAACGTACAACATGAAGAACACCATCTCGTACAGGGGATCCCATGCTTGGAACTTGTTAGATCCCCCCGTGGCTGACACAAGAGCCTACGCTAAAATGGCCATAAACTCTCAAGCCCTCAAAAATCTCAATTTCTCAGCTGAATCACCCCTTGCAATGAATATGTTCAATGACAGTGATTTCGTCTTTCATTGACTAATAATCAATATAATAATACTGATACATTTATATTTTTTGGATAACACAAGAATTGAGTACTTTTTTACTTTTTAGGTATAGATTTTTTAATTACAATTATGCATTTTCATTAGCGTGTTTTTAATTAATATGTACACGGCCCCATAAACTGTATTAGCTTCAATTTTAACTGCATGTGTTTAAATAAAAGTTGTTGTTATTAGTGGGAGAATTTGTTGAAGTTTTAATTAGATTTATTGTTTTTGATCATGTCCCTTCATTCTCGTCACCAATGTGTAAAATGTGTTGTATTCAAACGAGAACTTTGTTGTTCATCACTGTCAGGGCTTAATGGGCTAAAAATATAGTGATATAATCTCGCATTTGTTAGCTGTTCTTCCATTGAGTAGCCATCGCAAGAGCTCGCCTGAAAACAATTTGATAACCTGTTTTTACAAAATTCGCCGTCCCGTTCCCTACCAAGTAGACTGCGAGCAGTCTCTTAGTTTTCTTTTGAATCACGGTAATTCTACTTTTTCACTTGCTGCGCGTGGCCCTGTGGAAAGAACGACCACCGCTCGCGGTCTACCTACCAGGTGCAATCAAATATATTAATCATGCGCGTAAATTGCGAGCGCAGTGTGAGGTGTACTCGACAAACCTGGGATCACAGTTCACAGGCAGCGCGCAGACGCCTTATAGGCTTTATGAAGACAAATCAGACGCACAGATTCCCCGAGAATTCGTGTCCCCTTGCCACGCGCTTCGCGCCTTTATCTCGTCACCGCCAAATAACGCCTGTCAGGCGAGCTAAAATCTGGTGAGGAAATTCTCTTCTCTCTTGTATGCCCTTTTCCTTTCACGGACTCCAAAAACAGGGACTTATTTAAAGTTTACATGGGCCATCAAAGATTGGCTTTGCTACTTGCTGGCTGACAAGGATTTTTTTACTGATTTCGGCTTGGAATCGGTTGAAAAACGAAGTAAAGAAACACATTTTTTTTATCAATGTTTTCACCTTATTTTAATTGTTATTGCTTACATCCCGTATTAATCTACAGCGAACTTTTCTGGCGCCTTATAGTGCCGGCAGAACAGATAACGCAGTGTGTTTAAAGTCTAGTTAAAAGTATATATACTGATTTAACCATTAGGTTTTGGTTTTCGTCGCTCATCGCTATGGTAGCCATGCCACAGTGACAGGTATCTTCCCGTCACTTGGTGCACACAGCGCATGTCAACTCTCGCCCGTTGACATAAGGAAGACATGGGAGTGAGCCACAAACACCTTCCACAGGGTACAGCAAAGCACCATTCTTGTTTGCATGGGTACCAGGAACATACTCTGGATCCCCGTCAACACAAATGAAATCGGTTGAATGCTTGTGGTTATGATATGCAGTCATCAGGTACCCATGATACTCCTCGGTCCATCCAGAAGGACAGTCATTCCTGGCAGGCATCATCAGCATCGAGCCACGTGATTTGGCGAAGCAGACAACGCATGGTGCTTCATGATCGTGAAGATTTCTCTGTTTTCCGTCGCGATCATTTACTTCATATTCAGTGCCGTACATGTATCCGGAATTCTGAATGCCATCTTTGTACTTGTCATACTTTGGATTGTGTGGAAGGCAGAGGTAGTTCGCTCCACCACCAGGGTGAGTGTAGTGCTCTCCACCCATTATACCTGATACAAAGCAAAAAAAAGATATCAACAACAATTATTCTTTGAAATTCTGTCCACTCGCCAAGTTAAAGGAGCTGTGTCACGAAATTCAGCCAAATTAGGAAATTACAAAATGCCTGTTAAATTAAGAGAAACATAAAAATAACCACTTAAAACTTTAAAGGAAGGGTAATATAACATAACAGAAACAACAGATGCCACGGATGGGCAAAACTGAAGAAGATTGAAACGGATTGAAATTAGGATTTTTGAAAACTGTTCAGCAGAACAGTTTTTCAAAGTTGATCCCCGCTGCTTGCAACTTCAAAAACAATGCTCAGGAGACATATTTGTTTGTCTCGGATCTCTGATTTTGTCATTTACGTGTAATTAATTGCATATTTTAAGTTCTATAGCGATTGAAGGCGAGTAATTCGCAAAATTAAACAAAAGAAACTGGACTGCGGTGACACAACCCCTTTAATTAAAAGCTTTCCTGTTCTGCTCTTCGCAAGTGCATTAAATGGCGGCTAGCGGTTGAGGGAGGCAAGGTGTCTTTTCTCTGTACTGGTTATTTGAAATAAAGAATTTTCGGGAACATTTGCTTTCATTTTCTTTTGTCATAAATTAACTTTGATTTCTAGGCAACTGAATTCCCCTTGTAAGGAAATGCTGAGTTAACAAAATGGCATCTTCTACTCGACGAGTAAACTGTTGTTGCAAACGAAAGCATTCTGCTATAAAAGTAAATCGTAAAACGCAGTTAAAATAGTTTGAAATCTTTTCGTACCTTCAAAAACATCAACCATAGGATTCTGTTGACTAGTTCTTACTCAAAAAATTGGCAAAACATCTAGCTCACGCAATATCGCTAAGAGGTGAATATTAAGCAGGGGCACCCAACGTCAATTTTCGGAAAATATCTGTTCGGAAGACGATTTGAGATCTAGAATTTTCGAAACATTTGTTTTAAAATTTCTTGCATGCCTGCCTCTCCTAGGATTTGCGGACATCTAAAAAGGTATAATTGCTCATTTTTAACCGATTTTTACCCTAAAAAGGTCACCTAAAATTTTCGGGAGCCTATTTTCTGGCTGAAATTTTCGAAAAGGTAAGTTTTGATCCCTATAATTTTCGGATCACCAGGCTTTCAGCTAGGAAATCCGAACAGATGAAAAATTTTTACGGGATAAAAATATGCCTATAGCTACCGTTTAAATACCAAAATACGTTTAACAATGCTATGTTTAAGTGGTTTTGAACTATATTCTCGTCTGGTGCCCCTGATTAAGATAGCGAAGTAATCAGATTGCTTAAAACACCAAGACCACAGACAACAAATGGATGTAACATTTTGAGGCAAAAATGTAATGCAATACTCTAGAATTACATACATAAAAAAGCCTACTTGTACAAACTTATGAAACTACATTTCAGCAAGCGGCAATCATTTATGCTTCGTGGGTGATAATTCACTATTCAGGGGTCTGATCGATGACCAACTTTTTGCGGGATACATTTTCATGTGACCTCGACGTAACCAAGGCCGTGAGACTGCGCATTGTTAGGAAAAACAAGGGGCGTTGTCTCATACCCAGATTTCAGTCTGTCTCATGCATGAACAGGTACGAACCAGTTACACTCAACTGTTAATATGCTGGAAAGATGCAACAAAAAGATAACTTAAAGAGATGCCCAGGTTATTGACCAGTAAATGTAGCAAGCTTGGAGAAGTTTCATTGTTGTCACTTTTAAATAATGATTAGTAAGTTTATGTGGCATAAAAATCTTCAGTTTATCACTCTTTTTGTCTTTAGAATCATGGCAGCAATACTAACTATTATGTAAGATACCTTCGCTTACCTTTATAAACTATCTGCGCACCAGTAGGACATGTGGTCCTTCCCCAGCGAACGTACTGCACCCCTGAATTTCCAGCTCCATCCTGTCCCTTTTCTCCTTTTTCACCCTGTGTTCCCTGGGCTCCAGTCTTCCCAACTGCTCCCTGGTCTCCTTTAGGACCAGGAGGGCCTGGGGATGGCTTGTTGGTACCTGGTTTTCCTTGTTCCCCTACAAAGTATAAAATGGCTCTAAGCACTCGATCCCAACATTTTCACTTATTTTAGTGTTTAAAAGTGGAATCCATAAAAGTGTTTTTTTCCTCTGGGGCTCTTACAATCCACATTTGCTTTCAAGCGTGTAGCGGTTGAAAATTGGCCTGCTTGCAATTGATACACTGCATGATCATAAACTGCAAGAACCGCAAAAGAAATACTTTGTCAGAAAATAACTGAGATGCTAATTTAACATCGATAGCCGCACTTCTTCTTTACTGCCGGCTAACTTCTATTTAATTACTGGAACATACAAACTGAAATTACAAAACGAGTTTCATTTTCTCCCTCTACTGCGTTCACAGTTGGCGTTTTACAATTTTCGTTTTTCCCTTCATATCGATCTTTGTTGTTTTCCCTTCCGAGTATACCTTTTGATCCTTTTGGTCCAGCTGGCCCTTGTTTCCCTGGAGGGCCGGGTGGTCCAACTCGTCCCCTTCCAGGGTTTTGCATTTGCTGACCTGAAAAAGATACAAACCGGTGATAACACCCATAAATCACAGCATACTTACCAGACAAATGGGTTAACTTAAATGCGGATTTTAGTCACATATTAGATTACATATTCTATGACAATCAAATTTAATGCTCAAAAATCTCTTAATATCTAAGACTGATGTTTTGGGACAAACAACCTGATATCATTTTGCCTATGCAGATAAAATCCGCTAGTTGCCTTCACGAAATTTTGGATTGGATTGAACATCGTATTTTACCAAGAAGGTAGCTCAAAAGTGACACGTAAGATTCCCCTGCTGGTCGAGGCGATAATCGCAGTAAGCCATCAAGTCTGAAAAAAAGATTAACCATGAAAAAAATCTCAGAAACAGTGTATTAAACAGGGACTGTCGCCGTGACTTAAGCCTTGTTCACACTGTACCGGATACCTCTTGTGCCGGCACGAAAAGCCATACTGGATAGGGCTTCTGTTCTCACATAAGAACAGTGCTTTCGGCGCAATAGGCCCTTTGTAACTATTGTAGCCATTCACGTGGTACAAAACCGCCCTTCTGGAGAACTGGAGCAAGACAAACAAAGGAAATTACCATTTACCAAAATTATGTCTGCCTTTTATTTGTCTTGTCTCAGTGCGACTTTTGCTCTCCAGCATGGCGGTTTTGTACCACGTGAATGGTTTGCTGCAAAGGGCCTGTTTCTGCAACCGAACGAGGCTGGGCTGTGCCGATCTCTTAGTATATCGAATAGGTCGTGTGCCACACTTTGTGCGAAGGTGAAAAAGTAGGATCGAGGACTGGAATCTACTGAGACGGAGAAGTGGGATTTTGTCCACCAAACCCTCGGGTGCAACGTCTTCAATGCGTGTGAACTAAACAGCTTTTCGTGTCGACACGACAAGCTTCCAGATATTTAGTATGAAAATAGCCTTAAAGCTCAAGTTCAGCTACCAATTCAGGCTAAATTCGGATTGATTTTAGCTTTTTAAGAAATTTGGGGCACATTTGAAACAGGGTCACCTAACGACGGCTTCCTCCTAAATACATTGAAAACACTTTGTAGCCTATCATGAGTACATGCATTTTAAGCGGCGATAAAATATGTATCTGTTCGGTCATCCTAGGGCAACTTAAGAGTTTCCGAAAATACAATTGCAAGAGCCTCACTATTATTTTCCTGAAAATCGGTAGATGCAATTAAACGTATTGGTACGAAACTGAGAATTTTTCTCATTCCTCTCAGGCTCTCCATCACATTTTTGAATCCAAAATTTTAGGTTTCCTTTTTACGAAAAATAGCCTAACCTGAGGAGTGAAATGTGAAAAGTTAAACTTTAGAAAATCGTAGGGAATTTATAGGATAAGCTTCAAAAATTGTCCGTAAGTGGAACGGTTATCTAGAAATTTTAGGCCGTCCTCATGAAATTGAAAATTTGAGGCAATATTTGCTTCTTCGAACAGCTGATATCTTAAAGTTTAAACAGCCGTTGGGGGGGGGTGCCCCTGTGTTAAGTGGTGTTTTCTTTCATTGCTGTCTACAGCTGTTTATTACGCTTATTTTGCTCTAGGAAATAATTGCGTCGATGATGTGAATTAAGTCTATAATCAAGTCAGTTTAGATCTAAAAGATAAAAGATAATCAACCATACTTTGGTCACCACACTGAACGATGTTAACCGGATTTTGGATGAAACTTTTCCCACACAAGTCTTCCACTGCACATCAACCAGTGCCGTCCAAAATACGTGACCGGCCTGGATAACAGGGACTTTCTCGGCACTTCCCCCGAGTTCTTTACCCCAAGAGTCGCCCTTATTTTTTTTAAAATAGGTGATCTGTCTTGTTGCCATACCAAAGTAACATTACTTCCCCAGACAAGAAGTCAAACGGGTTTGCTATGCAACACTTAATAGGTAGTAACAAATTCAGAAGAAGTTAATTGTTAGTTTTTATAAATAGCAATTAGGAATGATGCACTAAATTTTGATTTCTCAAACCTTTTCTCCAACTCTTGAAATTGTCTGGTCATCATACGTACGGTCTTGTTATGGCTTAGTAAGAAAAAGGGAAATTATGTCAGTAAATCCACCATTTTCTTAGTAGTTTGAGTTTGGCACGTAACCGACATTGAACATTGCCCATGTGATAGAAAACGTGGCACTCAAAACGAGATAGCGAATCGCCGAGTTAAGATCATACCTTTCTTCAAGATCTTTCAGCCGGTTTGCAAAGTCCAACAGGTTCGGAGGTCGCGTTATTTTTCACAGTTCTTCGATCACGGTACAACTGCGATTGTTTTCCACCAACTTCAGTGCCTTCAGTAGATACGCGATCTTCTTCTCGCGGTTTGCGCGCTAGTTTTTCGTCAAGTGCAAAAATGTTAACCAGAATAGCACAGAACATCACACACACAGCCACGAAACGTATGCTGGTGCGAGGGGTAACCGCTGGTGATGATTTCATTTTAGAGGGACTTTCAGTCTTCAAAACAGAAAACACCCGTTTGTCTATCCTCCTCAAAAAGGTGCTACGTGACTGAAGTCAATATCGAGGCTCGGGTGGTAGAAAAATGCGGACGAGAATTTTTCGCGCTTGTGACGTAACATCCAAGGCCATCCGAAGGCGGATGTGAGCTTGCAACCGAAACTTAAATATGCAAGGACAACAAGTGAACGGTTTTTCCTATGTTATTGGTCTAGTCATATTAAGTTTGGAGACGTCATTTACGGACAAACTGTTTCAGAGCAAGATTTCGCATTTTGCTACACAAGAAGCCTGACCCAGGCTGAATCCGGTCGTTAGCGTTTAAAAAGTAGAGGCTAAAGAAAGTGTTGGAATCCGTACCGAGTATATCTTTACTTCTGCCGGCCACAAAATAATGAAAAATCTGTTAAATTTGCATGTAGGTTAAGCTTATTTACTTAAGCCTCCGGAAATTGATAGTGAGGTTTCAAGCTCTCCATTCGGGCCCGCGCGAGAATGCATGTGCGTAACCTTTTATCCACCGAGTTAGAAAGTTTAAAATAACATTTTTTCTTTTGTGGCTCTATATCCCGTCTGTACATCTGCCGTAAATTTTAAATTGAGTATCACAAAACCTACCAGGGGACAGGCTGCCTCAGAAATGACGTACAAAGCCTCTAAAATCTACTCTGCTTAGTACTGATTGAGAAAAGGCACGCTTTGTGAAAGTCTAAACAGACAAAATTTGTCAGATTTAATTTTGCAAAATTCGGTAACATAACACAAATTTGGTGCGGCTGTTGTACGTCAGTAAGAGTGATCTTACTTCAGCGGTTTACTTGAACCGTGAGACAGATACTAATAAGTAGTGCTGAATATAGCAAGAGGCAAACAAAAGAATACAATGAAATTAGTGCATAATAGTGCGTAGTATTCTACTATATCTATTTCACGGGTCAAGTAAAATCACTCTAGAGTGTGTGCGACGCAGGCTAGCCCAGTTGAGACGGTGAGTTAGTGTTCGTAACAGGGGAGGAGAGATTGCTCGCAAGGTTTGTTGTTTTTCTTTGATGAAAACAACCCTTTGCATATTGAACAGAGGTGGAAACACACTATGTCTCATTTGAGATATTAACTTTACAAGTAATCGCATAATTTGGGAAATATGCTCGGTTCCTGTGCGACTCTTGCATGGAAAAAAGAAAACAGAGAAACAGAAGAAATGGTCACCAAACTGCATTTATCCCACACGGTTAGCACAGGGTACAAAATGAAAAAGTAGGCTTCTGTCTACTCTCGTCGACCGCAATAAAAGACTCAAAATAAATAGAAAACGTTCAACTTGTTAAAGTACGGTATTTTAATAGTGAACGAAACAAAAGGATGCTCTCCCTTAACTCATTTATGACAGACGCGCAAACAGCAAATTAATTGACCACACATTTTAAAACAATTATATCTCCACTGTTACTTACCCTAGCTTAGAAAGCTATACCTCATTTGAAAGGGCATACAATAAACTTTTCCAAAAAAATAGTTTGCCCTCTGGAAGCTCATAATCAGCTTCACTGAAAAAATTTACAGGATACATTTTCTCATAATTTATGCAAAAATTCAAATATCAAATGTGATTTTGCAATGAATAATAAGATAAACGACACTGAGTCTCGGCAATGTTGTTTGCAAATAACAGCTGTCTCCCTGGGATAATTGTGAATAGAATTTGTTGAAAAATCAAGACATCAGTTTTATTTGCGGTGATGATCTTCTTCTTTGCGGGACCTGTGTGCTTAGTAAAGTATAGTAATCATTATATCGCGAAAAACGTAACCTTGGAAAACCATCTATAAAAGCTTGGTCATCAAGTACAACGAAGATTATTTTCACATTTTGGACAGGCTAAGGTAAAAAAAAACACAAATAAGAACATTGGGCAGTTACTTAGAATCTGATCCATAGAATCAAAAATTGAAATGAATGCATAATGTTTGTTTCTGTTGTGAAAAATAGTCACTACTCAGAAGCTTTTTGGCCCTATCACAACTGTCAACACCTTTCCTAAGTCATAGTGATGTAGTTTCTTACATTACTAAGTTGATTCATATTGTGACAAACTTTTTAAGCTGTTTCAAAAATTATCAATGCAAAGAAAACTTTGAACCACATCATCTACGCTGTTCTGATTCAGACTGTTTTTGCTTTATAACTCGCTCTAGCTTTAAGGAGGCAGCATAAACCAGGGTCTGGAAGGGGGGGGGGGTCCTGATTCCGCATTCCCGCCCCTTTTTCGCGGGAATCCCGCATCCCCCACGTTTTTCATCAGTTTCCCGCTTTTCTTTCTCAGAAAAATACATTAAAAAGTCTAATTTCTACAAAAGCTAATATATGTAAGCTGTACGTTGATCCTTTCGATTGATATTTTGAATTTACGCGTGTTTTTATAGGTTTCCGGCATTCCCGACAGACACGCAAACATAAATCCTGCATCCTGTGCCCAATTTTTGGCCAGTCCCGCTTCCCGGGGAACAGTAAAATCCCGGATCCCGTCAATATATTTATCGTTTTCCCGATTCCCGCACCGTATTTTGGTCAAATCCCGAATCCCGAAAATACCCTTCCAGACCCTGATAAACGAGTGGTCACCGTGTCAGACTCAGAATCCGGCGGTCTAGGGTTTGACTCCCGGGCTGGTCACTTGCTGGATTTTGTTCTCGGTCATCCCGAGTTTAAATCTTCGGCCACGCTTGTTAATAGCCAACTGGTGGTTTCCTCCTGTCAGTTGGGGTTTTTTAATCCTATTATGTTCTATTTGGGTTATTTTTTTCTAGTTATTTGAATGGAGTGCCTGTACACTAACTGGATAAGCTAAGTGCACTTTACACTAAAAACAAACCGTAAACTTTTTTTAACCTGTAAAGTTTGTGTTGTTTTCAAAGATAATAAGTTCCTTGCTATTGTATCTGTAAGTTTTTTACTCACAATTACGCCATTATCCTCCCAAAGTTCGGGAATAAGGGCCTGTTTACATGGAGGTGGGGGACCCCAGGGAGGTGAGGTAACCCGCTTAGGTGGGGTAAAAAAGTCTTCCGCGTTTACATGCAATCTTACAACCCCGCCATCCCGGGGTGCACTTTCTGAAGATTATTGAATGGTCGCTGAGCACGTAAACAAGAAAAATGCTGGCAGACCACACGTTTTGGCGATTAATGTGCTTCTGCTCTCACTTGCTGCTCTTGCTAGAATCTTCGCTGCGGTGGCTTTCTATTGTTACTTATAATGATGCAAAGCCACCGCCAAAGTGAATTTTGCGCGCATTTGATGTATCACGAATCCGACCCGGCTAGGAGGATTACCTCACCTTGAAACGTTTACATGGCAAAATTTGACCCCGGCTGGGAGGGTTACGCGGTCTGGCAGACCGGGCTACCCGCCTTGGCGGGTCACCTCACCTATCATGTAAACGCAATCAAATTAAAACAATAGACTATATGGAAAGGCGGTTTACCCCACCTAAGCGGGTTACCTTACCCACCTGGGGTCTCTCACCTCCATGTAAACAGGCCCTTAGTCGAGCCCAAACCTGAATGCCCACCAGAAAACGACAAAATATCATTAATGTTGCGTTTATAAAAACGACTGTTAAACTACGCTTCAAACACTTTATACTAAGCTGAAGAACCGTCAATTTGTTTGTAAAATCTTACCTCAATTGATTCCCCAATTGATTCCCCTTCTAAAAAATAACTAGACTTGAAGTTATCGAGTAGTGCCTCGTGCTTAGATGAAAATAATAAAAAGAGAAGAAATCTGAATGAACCAGACATTTTCACCGATTACAAACTTAAGCTTGTTGATTTCACTGAGAAATTTTAGAAAGCAATAAGTTGAATATAAAATTCAAGTTTTAAAAATCAAATATCATTACATTGCACCAACCTTGGGACAATTTCCACCAACCAACGGGTTTCTACTAAAAAGAGATAAGTATAATGCAAAACTAAAGAAAGTGATTGCTCGAAAGGATCGATATCATGGCTTCCCAAAACGAGGAGGGACTTACACGGGGCGAGTAGGAAACTGGGCCAAAGTTTCTGTAAAATTTGCAGCTTCCTTCATAACATAATCCATCGTTTAATCCACTTTGTTGTCCCAACACGTTTCCTATAGGATTAGTGGTCTTGGTGGGAGAATTTGCTGAAGTTTTAATTAAATTAATCGTGTGTGATCATGTCCTTAATTCTCCTCACCAATGTGTTTTGTAACGCATTAAGTAATGATCCGGGTAAGGTGGATAGCTATTCTTTTGTTATGCGGCGACGGTGCTTTCCCCACATAGGAATTAATGTGCTCATTTTTACACAGAGAATGCATAAACCTACATGGAGGCCGGTTACTTAATAAAATGCATTTATACTCCACTTTGAAAGGGTGTTTTTTGTTGTTAAAAGATTTTGACCAATCAGAAGAGTTGAAAACAATAGCCAAGAAAAGTTTACAATTTTACATTTTCCCCTCATAGGATTTCTTTGTTATTCAAACTGAGACCAGATTTTGTTATATAGAAGATGGTTGGAAAGTAAGGATGAATATATGTACTGCTTTATGAAGTTTTGTTAACTTTTGCTGTTTAAGCCAATCAGAAGTAAGTACAGACAATAGAAAAGTTAGCACCTTTATTGCATTCCAACAGGTTCGTTGCCGTTGTTGCTATCGTTCTTATCTGGACTGTTTCTTAATGATCTCGCATTTTTTTAGGTGTTCTTCCATAGAGTAGACATCGAAAGAGCTCGCCGGACTACAACTCCATAATTTGTTTTCACAAAATTCACCGTCCCGTCCGTCCCCTACCAGGTACAATTAAATATATTGATCATGCGCGTAAGCTGTGAGCGCAGAGTGACGTGTGCGCGACAAACCTAGAATCACAGTTCACAGGTAGCGCAGGCGTTCAGGTCTCTAAGACAAATTTCCTATCGTATGTGTTTCCTTGGGGGGCCTCGCGCTCCGCGTTGGTAGCTCGTGAACCCCAAATAACGTCTTTTAGGCGAGCTACAATATGATGAGGAAATTCTCTTTTCTTGCATGTCTTTTTCCTTTCCGAGATTGGACTAAAAAAAAGGACTTGTTGAAAGCAAAAGAGTAGCCGTCATTCTCCCTTGTTTAAAGTTTAATTGGACCGTCGAAGATTGGCTTTGCTACTTGCTGTCTGCCAAGGAATTTGCACCTATTTGTTGGAATCAGTCGGAAAATAAAGTAAAGAAAGACAATGTTTATCAATGTTTTCACCTTCTTTTAATTGTTATTGCTTACATCCCGTATTAATTTACAGCGAACTTTTCTGGCTCCATATTGCTAGCAGACCAGATAACGCAGTGTGTTTTATCTAGGTAAAGGTTGACTTGTTCTCCAAAAAATTATGAATTACAATCGTATATACTGATTTAACCATTATTATTTGGTTTGCGTAGCTCATCGGTATGGCAGCCATGCCACAGTGACAGGTATCTTCCCTTCACTTGGTGCACACAGCGCATGTTAACTCTCTACCGCTGACATAAGGAAGACATGGGAGTGAGCCACAAACACCTTCCACAGGGTACAGCAATGCACCATTCTTGTTTACATTGCTACCTGGAACATACTCCGGATCCTCGTCAACACAGATGAAATCACGTGAATGCCTGTGTCCATGATTTTCTGTCATCAGGTACCCATGATACTCCTCGGTCCATCCGGATGGACAATCATTCCTGGCAGGCATCATCAGCATCGAGCCACGTGACTTGACGAAGCAGATAACGCATGGTGCGTCATGATTGTGAAGATTTCTCTTAAAAGGGTCTCCGTTGTATTCACTCACTTCATATTCAGTGCCGTACACGTATCCAGAGGTCTGATGGCCATTTTTGTACTTGTCATACTTTGGATTGTGTGGAAGGCAGAGGTAGTTCGCTCCACCACCATGGTGATTGTAATGCTCTCCACCCATTATACCTGATACAAGACAAAAAAAAAATTATCAACAATTATTCTTTGAAATTCTGTCAACTCGCCAAGTTAATTAAAAACTTTCCTGTTCTGCTCTTCGCAAGTGCATGAAAGGGCGGCTAGCGGTTGAGGGAGGCAAGGCGTCTTTTCTCTGTCTTGGTTATTTGAAATAAAGAATTTTCGCGAACATTTGCTTTCATTTTCTTTTGTCATAAATTAACTTTGATTTCTAGGTAACTGAATTTCTCTTGTAAGGAAATGTTGAGTTAACAGAATGGCATCTTCTACTCAAGTAAACTGTTGTTGCAAACTAAAAGCATTCTGCTGTAAAAGTAAGTCGGAAAACGCAGTTAAAATAGTTTGAAATCTTTTCTTACCTTCAAAAACATTAACCATACGATTCTGTAGACTAGTTCTTACGCAAAAATTGCCAAAACATCTAGCTCACGCAATATCGCTAAGAGGTGAATATTAGAGCGGTTTTCACTTGACTGTCGTAAAACCAAAACCAAAGTAAATACACTAGCCAACCAAAGGGCGTAGTAAAACCAAAACCAAAACCAAAACCAATCCCTTTCGACAGTCAAATGAAAACCGCTCTAAGATAGCGAACTAATAAGATGGTTTTTAAAAAACACCAAGACCACAAACCAGAAATGGCTGTAACATTTTGAGGCAGAAATTTAATACAATACTCTAGAATTACAATGTCCTTTTTTTGCCATTTCCTTGTCTATTTATATTGATCACTAAAACATAGAAAAGCCTACTTGTACAAATTTATGACACTAAATTTCAGCAAGCGGCAATCATATATGCATGCTTCTTGGGTGATAATTCACTGTTCAGGGGTCTGTTCGATGACATAGAGTTTGCAATATTGCTTGTCAAAAAACTTTTTGCGGGATACATTTTCATGTGACCTCAACGTAAATGCCGTGAGAGCGCGCATTGTTAGGAAAAACAAGGGTCTTTATCTCATACCCAGATTTCCGTCTGTTTTATGCATGAACAGGTACGAACCAGTTACACTGAAAGGTTTAAAATATGCTGGAAAGATGCAACAAAAAGATAACTTAAAGAGATGCCCGGGTCATGACCAGTAAATGTAACAAGCTTGGAGAAATTTCATAGTTGTCACTTTCAAATAATGATTAGTAAGTGTATGTGGCATAAAAATCTTCAGGTTATCACTTTTTCCGTCTTTAGGACCATAGGAGTAATAGTAACTATCATGTAAGCTCCTTTTCGCTTACCTTTATAAACTATCTGCGCACCACTAGGACATGTGGTCCTTCCCCAGCGAACGTACTTCACTCCTGATGTCCCAACTCCATCCTGTCCTTTTTCTCCTTTGGCACCCTGTGGTCCCTGCGCTCCAGTCTTCCCAACTGCTCCCTGGTCTCCTTTTGGACCAGGGGGGCCTGGGAATGGCTTGTTGGTACCTGGTTTTCCTTGTTCCCCTGCAGAGTATAAAATGAGTCAAAGCACTCGATGCCAGCTTTTTTACTTATTTTAGTGCTTAAAAGGTGGAATCCATAAAAGTGCTTTTTTCTCCTATGGACTTCTTACAATCCACATTTGCTTTTACGCGTGTAGCGGTTGAAAATTGGCTGGCTTGCGATCGATACACTCCATGATCATAAACTGCAAGAACCGCAAAAGAAATACTTTGTCAGAAAATAACTGAGATGTTAATTTAATATCGATAACCGCACTTCTTCTTTACTGCTGGCTAACTTCTAATTGCTGGAACATAAAAACTGAAATTGAAAAACGAGTTTCATTTGCTCTCTCCGCTGCGTTTACAGTTGGTGTTATACAATTTTCATTTTTCCGTGGATATCCTCGATCTTTGTCGTTTTCCCTTTTCACCTTTTGATCCTTTTGGTCCAGCAGGCCCTTGTTTCCCTGGAGGGCCGGGTGGTCCAACTCGCCCCTTTCCAGGGTTTTGCATATGCTGACCTGAAATAAAGACACGCCAGTGATATCACCCATAAATCACCCTGACATCATTTTGCCTATATTGATTATTACTATTATTGCCTCAGGTAACCTTCGACTGGATTTAATATCGTATTTTACCAAGAAGGTAGCTCAAAAGTGACCCGTAGGATTCCCCTGCTGGTCGAGGAGATAATCGCAGTAAGCCATCAAGTCTGAAAAAAAGATCAATCATGAAAGATCTCAGAGACAGTCTAGGGCTGCGTGCAAACGGACGCAACACTGTTGACCAACAACTCCCAACATTGTTGGATGTTACATGTTGCGTCCGTTTGCACATCCTGTTGCATGTTGTTGGATGTTGTTGCGTGTTGTTGCGCAAAAAAAAAAAAAAACGGTCAAACTTTTCAGCCAACAACTCCCAACATTTCTTTTGTTCCGTGATCGCCGAAGCGTAGCGCAACAATGTTGAATCCGTTTGCACAGCTCTTCCAACATTGTTGGGGCCACGCATGCTCATGACGCATGGTTTACAAAGACTTATGGGTTGTATCCTTTCCACGATGCACTGCAGGTCCCAACATTGTTGGGAGTTGTTGCATCCGTTTGCACACTACTGCCAACACGCACGCAACAACTCCCAACATTGTTGGCGCAACAATGTTGGAAGTTGTTGCGTCTGTTTGCACGCAGCCTAACAAGGACTTTCGCCGTGACTTAAGCCATGTTCACACTACACCGGATAGGGCCTCTGTTCACACATTTCATTTCCGCTCACTGTAACGGAGCGAGACTGCGCTGCACCGAACATTAAAATGGACTGTAACATATCAGATAGGTCATGTGCCTCCTTGTGCCACACTTTGTGCAGTGAACCTTTGCGGGAGTAAAAATGTAGGAGCGAGGACTGGAATCTACTGAGACGGAAGGAAACATTTAGGGGGTGAGAAGTGAAGACTGGGATTTAGTTTACAAACCCTCTCGGCCAACCGCTTCGATGCGTGTGTGAACGTTCCAGTTCTGTGCCGTTGCTGTTGATACCATATAAACCCAACAGCTTTTCGCGTCGACACGAAAAGCTTTCCAGTATAGTGTGAAAATAGCCTTAAACCCCAAGTAAAGTTCAACGACAACCAGTTGAGGCTTAATTAGGCTTGATTTTAACTGTAAGAAATCTGTTAACAGGGGCACTCAACGACGGTTTCCTCCTAAATGCATTGGAAACACTTTTTAGGCTATCCAGAGAGCTTTTAAATCTCTAGGAATGCGTTTTAAGCCGCGATAAAGTTTGTATCTGTTCGGTCATTCCAGGGCAACTTGAGAGTTTCCGAATTACAATGTAGATGCAGTTAAACGTATTACGAAAGTGATAATTTTTCTGATTCCTCTCAGGCTCTCCATCTCATTTTTGAATCCAAAAATTTTAGGTTTCCTTTTTTTTTTCTTCGAAAAATAGCCTAACCTGGGGAGTGAAATGTGAAAAGTTAAACCTTAGAAAATCGTAGGGAATTTATAGGATAAGCTTCAAATTGTACATGAGTGAAATGATTATCTAGAAATTTTTAGCCCTCCTTGAGAAATAGAAAATTTGAGGCAATATTTGCTTCTCCGAACAGATATTTTACAGAAAACAGCCGTTGGGTGCCCCTGTGTTAAACGGTATTTTCTTTTATTGATTGCCTTTTACAGCTGTTTATTAAGCTTCTTTTGCTCTAGGAAATAATTGCGTCGATGATGTGAATTAAGTCTGTAACCAAGTCAGTTTATAGCTAAAAGATAAAAGATAATCAACAATAACTCTGGTCACTACACTGAACGATGTTAAGCGGATTTTGGATGAAACTCAGTTCCCACACAAGTCTTCCACTGCACATCCACCAGTGCCGTCCAAATATAATAAGTGTCCGGCCTGGATAACAGGGGCTTTCTCGGTATTTCCCCTTTTCTACATCAAGTTGGAAATGGGTGAAATAACATTCTTCGCTAGACAAGAAATCGAACGGGTTCCTATGCAATCCTTAGGGGTAACAATTTCGGAAGTACTTGTTAGCTTTTAAAAAGCAATTACACGGTAATGATGCATTTAATTTTATTTCTCAAACCTTTTCTCCAACTCTTGAAATCGTCTGATCATCAAATGTACGCTCTTGTTGTGGCTTAAAAAGAGAAATGATTTTAGTAAATTCACCATTTTCTTAGCAGTTTGAATTTAGAATAGTGACACGTAACCAACATTTAACATTGCCCACGTGATAGAAAAGCGAGATTCATAGCGAATCGCCGAGTTAAGATTATACCTTTCTTCAAGATCTTTCAGCCGGTTTGCAAATTCCGACAGGTTGGGGGTCGCGTTATTTTTCACCGTTCTTCGATCACGGTACAACTGCGATTGTTTTCCACCAACTTCAGTGCCCTCAGATACGCGATCTTCTTCTCGCGGTTTTCGCGCCAGTTTTTCTTCAAGTGCAAAAATGTCAACCAGAATAGCACAGAACATCACTGACACGGCCACGAAACGCAGGCTGGTACGAGGGGTAACCGCTAGTGATAATTTCATTTTAAAGGAACTTTTAGTTTTTGAAACAGAAAACAACCTTTTGTCTATCCTCCACAAAATGTTGTTACGTGAAAACAATTTCGAGGCTTGGATGGTACAAAAATGAAGACGAGAAATTTTTCGCGCTTATGACGTATCATCCAAGGTCATCCGAAGGCGGATGTGAGCTTCCAACAGACTTAAATATGCAAGGGCAATAAGTAAACAATCTTCTATATTATCCGTATAGTCATATTAAGTATGAAGACGTCATATACGAACAAATTGTTTCAGAACAAGATTAAGCGTTTTTGCTACGCAAGAAGCCCAGCCCAGTTTGACGCGGTGACGTTTAAAAGCGGAAGTTAAGGAAAGTATTGGAATCCGTACTGAGTATATCTTTATTCCTGCCAGCCACTGTGTAATGTAAAATCTCTTAAATTTGCATGTTAAGCTTATTTATTTAAGTCTACACAAAATTTTTGATAGTGAGGTTTCAAGCTCTCCATTCGGGCGAGCCAAGCGATCTGCGCGAGAACGCATGTGCGTATAACTTTTCAGCACGAGGGAGAAAGTTTAATAGCATTTTTTTCTTTTGTGGCTCTATATCCTGTATATCTGCGGTAAATTTCAAGTTGAGTATCACAAAAATATATGACAAACGACAGCGACTTTCTCGACCTTGCTAAAATGCGACAGCGATATTTTTTCCCAAACTACCAGGCTACAGGCAGCCGGAGGAATGACAAACAAAGCGACAGCATACCCCCCTTGGAAGGCCTCTTTCATGATTTGCCCTAAATAGAGAGCTTATTGCTCGCGGGCTTAATTTAAAATTAACACAGTCATTAACATCATTTCGGCTAGGTGGCAAACAAAGAAAATCATTCAATTAACACAGCTTTAAAAGAGTATTAATGAAAGTTCTTTTATTTGTAAAGATCTAAGTTTACTCCTTTTTGTCGTATTGAGATAAACGAAGACGCTTTGTGAAAGTCTAAACATACAAAATTTGTCAAACTTAATTTTGAAAGATTCGGTGGCATTTGTAGATGACACATTTTTGGTGCGGCTGTCGTAGGTGAAAAACTTTGTAGGGTTGAAGCAGGATTTTCTTTGTATTTGCTAAATTAAAGGAAGATGAATCAAACTACAGAAACTAGGTTGAATACTGAGAGCGGAATTTACCTTCAAGAACATGGCCACGTGTAATGCTCAAAGGCTGGAGGGTATTGATCAACATCGGCTCTGTTCTTTGGTATAAATCATATTAGTCTAAGTATATTTTTGATTTATCGTTTTCTGTTGCTCCGGGGGACAATCCAATTTTAGTTTGCAGCAACATTTTTAATTTACATGTGTGACCCTTCTGGGCCGCCGTAGAATCCTAGGAATGATCTGCTTCTGTTACCATAATCCATTTGCTACAACTCGGTAACTACGTCTATATGCACACAGCTCAGCTATCCAGGCGGTTTAGAGTGTCTGCGACGCAGGCTAGCCCAGTTGGGACGGCGAGTTAGTCTGCGTAATAGGGGAGGCGAGATTGTTAGAAGGGTCAGGGGTACCCAACGTCAATTTTCGGGAAATATCTGTTCGGAAGACGATTTGAGATCTAGAATTTTCGGAACATTTGTCGTAAAATTTCTTGCTTGCCTGCCTCTCCTAAGATTTTCGAACAGCTAAAAAATGGTATAATTGCCCATTTTTACGGATTTTTACCCTAAAAAGGTCACCTAGAATTTTCGGGAGCCATTTTTCTGGCTGAAATTTTCGAAAAGGTAAATTTTGATCCCTAGACAACCTTATGCCTAAACCATTCTTAAATATTCCATAACAGCCTATCATAACATTTTCATTAAAATAATTTATTCATTTACTGTATTCCTATACCCTTCAGTTGCCTTGACTTTTTTGTTTCCTATTTGCTTTTGTTTTTCCTTGACAGCAGCTGTCTGAAAGATCAAATTATTAAGGCATATCCTGTCAAAAATAGGGCAATTAAGCCACAGCCTTAAAAATATTGGCGCGATCACCTTCCAAGCATTAAATGCCAAAAAAAATTGCAATCTCCTTAAACAAAGGCCAGTTTGCAATCTTGAGGCAATGGACAATAATTAATCATTTTAAAATGGTAAATGTCTGACATATATTAACATTGGGAGTGTTGAATTTGGTTTGACACTTGAGGAGCCTACAAACTAATTATAGCTTCCAGGCAGTAATTTTGTTGCCTCACTCCTGATACCTTTTTTTTTACAATACTACCATTCCAGAAATACTTCTGGCATTCTCTGTTTTCATAATCCAACAGCAATAATAATAATAATATTATCATTATTATACTAGCATAAGAATCTTATTGACTTCAACTTACAACATTTCTAGAGATAACTCCTATTCCTTGTTTTTCTGAAGAGGTTTCCCAGCTTCTCAAGTTGAATGTTAGATACTCAGTATTTGAAAGGCCGCCCTGAAATTAATTAACAAAGTATGTATATTCTAATGACAGTTTTATCATCTTTACTGGTAGAGGATATAGGAGAAAACAATTGGTTTCATATCAGATGACAAACCTCTGTGATTCAGTTCAGGTACGGAATGATTTACAATTCACAAATTAAACCCAATAGTTTATTGTTGCATAACAACTATATTGCTGAAATAATTAATAAACAACATCGGCCCTTGCGACTGACAATGCTTCCGGATATTTGGACACTCAACACCAGACGACAATACTTTATTTCTCCACTTAAAAAATGATTTTCTGCCTAAGCTCAATTTTTCCTTGGCAGTTAACATTTTTCAATCAGGTGTTATTTTTCCTTTCTTTTTCCTTAGATTGATGACAACAATCGATCTGAGTCAAAGTGTATAAGGTTCTGGTAAACATCTGCCCACCTCTCCTTCCTAAGTATGAAGTTAGTGTTATCATTGGTTTTAAGGGGGGAGGATTACATAGGCCGTTCCTCAGAACCTGATTCACACAATCAAAAACTGAAATGAATGCACAATTTTTGTTTTTGTCGAGAAAAAGGGTCACTACTCTCAAGCTTTTTGGCCCTATCACAGCGCCTCTGTTTCAATGCAAGTCAAAATAATGTAATTTCTCACATAACTTAATGTAGTTGATACGTTTTGTGACAAACTTTAAGCTGTTTTCAAAATTATCAAAGCAAAGGAAACTTTGAACCACAACATCTACACAGTTGTGATTCAGACTGTTTTTGCTCTATGGCTCGCTCTAGCTGTAAAGTTTTTGTTGTTTTCCACGTAACTATTGTATCTGTAAGTTTTATACTCACAATTACACGATTATCCTCCCATGGTTCAGGAATAAGTTGAGCCCAAACCTGAATGCCCACGAAAAAACGAAAAGATATCATTAAGCCTTGAGTTTATAAAAACATTAACGACTGTTAAACGCTTCAAACACTTTATACTAAGAACCGTCAATTTGTTTGTAAAATCTTACCTCAATTGTTTCCCCTTTGTCTAAAAAATAATTAGACTTGAAGTTATCGAGTAGTGCCTCGTGCTTGAGTGAAAATAATAAAAGACACTTAAAATCTGAATAAACCAGACATTTTTCCCGATAACATTAACCTCACAAAACTTCCTGATTTCACGAAGAAATTTCAGAGAGCAATACCTTGAATGTAAACTGAATTCATGTTTCATGTAAAATTTCCTTTCATTTCACTAACCTTGGGGCAATTTCCACCGACCAAAGGGCTACTGCTAAAAGGAGATAATTAAGTTTAACAGTGCAAAACTGAAGAAAATGATTGCTCGATCACGATGGGACATCATGGCTTCCCAAAACAGGGGATTCGCATTGGGCGAGTAGTAAACTGGGCACAAGTTTGTAAAATTTTCATGGAGAAAACGGCGATCCCTACAAATCCCAAACTGCAAAGTAAAGTATGGTAGTTATCCTTCAAAAAATATTCCATACTTTATCCATTTGTTGTCTCTACACGTTTTCTATAGAATAAGTGGTCGTACGCTACCAAACGCTGTCTTTGCGCTACCAATTGGGGGTGTGCCACCAATAAAAAGAATATTTTAAAAATGTTGTGGAATCTATAGCATTATTGCAGAGCTACTAAAGTCATATATAAACTGCCCCGCTACTTACCCTCTGTAGACGTTGGAAAATCAGTCAAGTGAGACTCGTTATTTGACACGTACAAGACCAAGATAGCCACTTCAATTTATAAAATATTTCATCGCATAACTCCATCCTCCTTAGAACGTCTAATTATCCAGAGGGGACAGAACAAGTACGACTTGTGTCATATCACCATCGCGTGAGTGTTCCGTGTTTCGAAGCTGTATTAGGTTTAATTTTAACCGTGTTTGAATAAAAGTTGTTGTTATTAGTGGGAGAATTTGTTGAAGTTTTAATTAGTTTTATTGTGTTTGATCATGTACTTAATTCTCGTCAACAATGTGTAAAACGTTGATATTCCCACTGGCGGATTAAGGGGTGGGCCAAGGGAGCCGGCCCCGCCCCTCCCCCCTTTTGTCCGGGATTTTTTTTGCTTTAGTAAACGTGTGTCGACTGGTGCTTCGAGCTTTGTTACTTTAATATATTTTCTTCAATAAACATTGCAAATAAGAAAAGAATCTGTGTTCAAGGACTACAATTTTAGTCGCAAATGACCAATGACCTCCTCAAACAAACTGGATTTGACAATTTTTCAGGGAGACGATAGCCGTATTTACACTAGAGGACGTCTAAGACGTCTTAGACGACTTAGGCGTCTAGCATAAATACGGGAAATGAGGTAGACGCATTGAACGTCAGACGAATAAAACATCTGAAGTTAAGTGCGTCTGATCGACGCAGTTAACAGATGAATTAGTTGTCTCAACGCACTTAACAGTCCGACGTTTAATGCGTCTGGATGTCTAAGACGTCTTCTAGTATAACTACGGCCAATGCTGCCGCTTTTGCCCGGAAGTTGTGCTCTCGCCGCAATTGCTTCGGCCCCTGCTAGCATCATACAAAGTGTTAATTACTTCTTTGACCACAACAACACCTGTGGTTTGTTAAATATTTCAGCATTACATGTTCAATATGGAATCCAGGCATTTGCTAAATTCAAGCGTCCAGAATGCACTAGATTGCAACTCAGAGAACTTCAATCTCAAAAATTTTCCTGGAGGAGCATGCGCCCGAAACTCGGTAGAAAAGTGCGCCGTTCGCAAACCTGGTGGGCGCTTTCGCGCCCATATTGCCACTCTACACTATATCTCTAGGCCCCCTCTATCACAAAATCCTCCGTCCTCCCTGATTCCAAGATTTGTCACTCTCAGGGCTTAATTAATGGGTTAAAAATATAGTGACATAATCTCGCATTTGTTAGCTGTTCTTCCATTGAGTAGCCATCGCAAGAGCTCGCCGGACAACAACTTGATAAATTATTTTTACAAAATTTTTCACTCGCCACGCGCGGCCCTGAGGAAAGAAGGACCACCGCTCGCGGCCTATCTACCAGGTGCAATCAAGTATATTGATCATGCGAGTAAATTGCGAGCGCAGTGTGAGGCGGTACTCGACAAACCTGGGATCATAGTTCACAGGCAGCGCGGACATCATATTGCGTCGAGGAAGGAGAGTCGTTGGCTGTTCTGTGTGTTCGTGGACGGCCTGTGCATGTTCCAAGCGCGAAAAATCGAGAAAAGAGGTTGTTGGTGTGTTGGTTCCAAATCTGCATCATCTTGAAACGTCAAAATAGCATCCAAGCGCCATGCGCCAATTAGTATGTTTGCGTTACAAATAAATAGTACTATGCAAAAGTTCCGCCGAAGAGGTTTCATTCAGGAATGGAAAACCAGAGGATTTCTTACAAAAGTGACTTCGTTTGAGAAATCAACTCCCCATAACTCAGTGTACGATAAAAAGGATTAAGATGCTTTATGGAGAAAGCCGACGCACTATAATCTACGTATGATTACTGCTAGTAGGCTTTATAAAGACAGTTTCCCCGAGAATCCGTGTCCCCTTGCCTCGCGCTTCGCACTTGATCTTTTCAAAGGTAAATAACGCCAGTTTGGCGATCTACAATCTGGTGAGGAAATTCTCTTCTCTTGTATGCCTTCTTCCTTTCATTGGACTCAAAAAATAGGGACTGGTTTAAAGTTTACATCGGCCATCGAAGATTGGCTTTGCTACTTGCTGTCAGCCATGATTTGTACCGATTTCTTGGAATCACGGTTTTATAAACTCGAAGTAAAGAAACACATTTTTTATCAATGTTTTCACCTTATTTTAATTGTTATTGCTTACATTCCGTATTAATCTACAGCTGACTTTTCTGGCGCCTTAGTGCTAGCAGACCAGATAACGCAGTGTGGCTTAAGTCTAGTTTAAAGTATATACTGATTTAACCATTATTATTTGGTTTTCGTAGCTCATTGGCATGGTACCCATGCCACTGTGAAAGGTATCTTCACGTCACTTGGTGCACACAGCGCATGTCAACTCTCGACCGCTGACATAAGGAAGACATGGGAGTGAGCCACAAACACCTTCTACAGGGTACAGCAATGCACCATTCTTGCTTGCACTGCTACCAGAAACATACTCCGGATCCTCGTCAACACAGATGAAATCACGTGAATGCTTGTGGTTATAATGTTCTGTCATCAGGTACCCATGATACTCCTCGGTCCATCCAGATGGACAGTCATTCCTGGCAGGCATCATCAGCATCGAGCCACGTGACTTGACGAAGCAGACAACGCATGGTGCTTCATGATCGTGAAGATTTCTCTTAAAAGGGTACCCGTTGTACTGATGCACTTCATATTCAGTGCCGTACACGTATCCGGAGAGCTGATGTCCATTTGTGTACTTGTCATACTTTGGATTGTGTGGAAGGCAGAGGTAGTTCACTCCACCACCATGGTGAGTGTAATGCTCTCCACCCATTATACCTGATGCAAGGCAAAAAAATTATCAACAACTGTTCTTTGAAATTCTGTCAACTCTCTAAGTTAATTAAAATGTTTTCTGTTCCGCTCTTCGCAAGTGCATGAAATGGCGGCTAGCGGTTGAGAGAGGCAAGGCGTCTTTTCTCTAGTTGTCCTGGTTATTTGAAATGATCATGGCTTCATCTTCTTTCGGCATAGATTAACTTTGATTTCTAGGAAACTGAATTCCTCTTGTAAGGAAATGCTGAGTTAACAAAATGGCATCTTCTACTCGCGTAAACTTTTGTTGCAAACGAAAAACGTTCTCCTATAAATGTAAATCGGAAAACGCAATTAAAATAGTTTGAAATCTTTTCTTACCTTCAAAAACATCAACCTTAGGATTCTGTTAACTAGTTCTTACTCATAAAACGGCAAAACATCTAGCTCACGCAATATCGCTAGGAGGTGAATATTGCTGGATAATCTAAGATAGCGAACTAATCGGATTGCTTAAAACGCCAAGACCACAGACCACAAATGGCTGTAACATTTTGAGGCAAAAATTTAATACAATACTCTAGAATTACACTATCCTTATTTCTTTTGCCATTTCCTTGACTATTTCTATTGATCTCTAAAACATAAAAAAGCCTACTTGTACAAATTTATGAAACTACATTTCAGCAAGCGGCAATCATTTATGCTTCTTGGGTGATAATTCACTGTTCAGGGGTCTGATCGATGACATTGAGTTTGCAATATTGCCTGTAAAAAAACTTTTTGCGAGATACATTTTCATGTGACCTCAACGTAACCAATGCCGTGAGAGCGCGCATTGTTAGGAAAAACAAGGGTCTTTATCTCATACTCAGATTTCCGTCTGTTTTATGCATGAACAGGTACGAACCAGTTACACTGAAAGGTTTAAAATATGCTGGAAAGATGCAACAAAAAGATAAATTAAAGAGATGCCCGGATTATTGACCAGTAAATGTGACAAGCTTGGAGAAATTTCATAGTTGTTACTTTTAAATAATGATTAGTAAGTGTATGTGGCATAAAAATCTTCAGGTTATCACTCTTTCTGTCTTTAGGACCATAGGAGTAATAGTAACTATCATGTCAGCTCCTTTTCTCTTACCTTTATAAACTATCTGCGCACCACTAGGACATGTGGTCCTTCCCCAGCGAACGTACTTCACTCCTGATGTCCCAGCTCCATCCTGTCCTTTTTCTCCTTTGGCACCCTGTGATCCCTGCGCTCCAGTCTTCCCAACTGCTCCCTGGTCTCCTTTTGGACCAGGGGGACCTGGGAATGGCTTGTTGGTACCTGGTTTTCCTTGTTCCCCTGCAGAGTATAAAATGAGTCAAAGCGCTCGATCCCAGCTTTTTTACTTATTTTAGTGTTCAAAAGTGGGATCCATAAAAATGCCTTTTTTTCCTATGGACTTCTTACAATACACATTTGCTTTCATGCGTGTAGCGGTTGAAAATTGGCTGGCTTGCAATTGATACACTCCATGACCATAAACTGCAAGAACCGCAAAAGAAATACTTTCTCAGAAAATAACTGAGATGCCAATTTAACATCGATAACCGCACTTCTTCTTTACTGCCGGCTAACTTCTAATTGCTGGAACATAAAAACTGAAATTACAAAACGAGTTTCATTTGCTCTCTCCACTGCGTTCACAGTTGGTGTTGTACAATTGTCATTTTTCCCTTGATATCCTCGATCTTTGTCGTTTTCCCTTTTCACCTTTTGATCCTTTTGGTCCAGCTGGCCCTTGTTTCCCTGGAGGGCCGGGTGGTCCAACTCGCCCCTTTCCAGGGTTTTGCATATGCTGACCTGAAATAGAAACACATCGGTGATATCACCCATAAATCACAGCACATTAACCAGCCAAATGGACCTGACATCATTTTGCTTATATTGATGAAATCCGCTAGTTGCCTTAGGCTGTTAGGTAACTTTGATTGGATTTCATATCGTATTTTACCAAGAAGGTAGCTCAAAAGTGACCCGTAGGATTCCCCTGCTGGCCGAGGCGATAATCGCAGTAAGCCATCAAGTCTGAAAAAAAGATCAACCATAAAAAATCTCAGAGACAGTGTTTTAAACAAGGACTTTCGCTGTCACTTAAGCCATGTTCACAGTACACCGGATAGGGCCTCTGTTCACACATTTCATTTCCGCTCACTGTAACGGAGCGAGACTGCGCTGCACCGAACATTAAAATGGACTGTAACATATCAGATAGGTCATGTGCCTCCTTGTTCCACACTTTGTGCAGTGAACCCTTGCGGGAGTAAAAATGTAGGAGCGAGGGCTGGAATCTACTGAGACGGAAGGAAACATTTAGGGGGTGAGAAGTGAAGACTGGGATTTAGTTAACCAAACCCTCTCGGTCAACCGCTTCGATGCGTGTGTGAACGTTCCAGTTCTGTGCCGTTGCTGTTGATACCATATAAACCCAACAGCTTTTCGTGTCGACACGAAATGCTTTCCAGTATAGTGTGAAAATAGCCTTAAACCCCAACCAGTTGAGGCTTAATTAGGCTTGATATATTTTAACTGTAAGAAATCTGTTAACAGGGGCACTCAACGACGGTTTCCTCCTAAATGCACTGAAAACACTTTTTAGGCTATCCAGAGGGCTTTTAAATCTCTAGGAATGCGTTTTAAGCGGCGATAAAGTTTGTATCTGTTCGGTCATTCTAGGGCAACTTGAGAGTTTCCGAAATTACATGGGCTCAGTTATGTATTACTTTCCTGAAAATTGTGGATGCAGTTAAACGTATTACGAAAGTGATAATTTTTCTGATTCCTCTAAGGCTCTCCATCTCATTTTTGAATCCAAAAATTTTAGGTTTCTTTTTTTCTACGAAAAATAGCCTAACCTGGGGAGTGAAATGTGAAAAGTTAAACCTTAGAAAAATCGTAGGGAATTAATGAGATAAGCTTCGAAAATTGTACATGTGTGAAATGGTTATCTAGAAATTTTTAGCCGTCCTCGAGAAATAGAAAATTTGAGGCAATATCTGCTTCTCCGAACAGATATTTTACAGAAAACAGTCGTTGAGTGCCCCTGTGTTAAACGGTGTTTTCTTTTATTGATTGCTTTTTACAGCTGTTTATTAAGCTTCTTTTGCTCTAGGAAATAATTGCGTCGATGATGTGAATTAAGTCTGTAACCAAGTCAGTTTATAGCTAAAAGATAAAAGACAATCAACAATAACTCTGGTCACTACACTTAACGATGTTAAGCGGATTTTGGATGAAACTCAGTTCCCACACAAGTCTTCCACTGCACATCCACCAGTGCCGTCCATATATAATACGTGTCCGGCCTGGATAACAGGGGCTTTCTCGGTATTTCCCCTTTTCTACATCAAGTTGGAAATGGGTGAAATAACATTCTTCGCTAGACAAGAAATCGAACGGGTTTCCTATGCAATCCTTAGGGGTAACAATTTCGGAAGTACTTGTTAGCTTTTAAAAAGCAATTACACGGTAATGATGCATTTCATTTTATTTCTCAAACCTTTTCTCCAACTCTTGAAATCGTCTGATCATCAAATGTACGCTCTTGTTGTGGCTTAAAAAGAGAAATGATATTAGTAAATTCACCATTTTCTTAGCAGTTTGAATTTAGAATAGTGACACGTAACCAACATTTAACATTGCCCACGTGATAGAAAAGCGAGATTCATAGCGAATCGCCGAGTTAAGATTATACCTTTCTTCAAGATCTTTCAGCCGGTTTGCAAATTCCGACAGGTTGGGGGTCCCGTTATTTTTCACCATTCTTCGATCACGGTACAACTGCGACTGTTTTCCACCAACTTCAGTGCCTTCAGATACGCGATCTTCTTCTCGCGGTTTTCGCGCCAGTTTTTCTTCAAGTGCAAAAATGTCAACCAGAATAGCACAGAACATCACTGACACGGCCACGAAACGCAGGCTGGTACGAGGGGTAACCGCTGGTGATAATTTCATTTTAAAGAAACTTTTAGTTTTTGAAACAGAAAACAACCTTTTGTCTATCCTCCACAAAATGTTGTTACGTGAAAACAATTTCGAGGCTTGGATGGTACAAAAATGAAGACGAGAAATTTTTCGCGCTTATGACGTATCATCCAAGGTCATCCGAAGGCGGATGTGAGCTTCCAACAGACTTAAATATGCAAGGGCAATAAGTAAACAATCTTCTATATTATCCGTATAGTCATATTAAGTATGAAGACGTCATATACGGACAAATTGTTTCAGAACAAGATTAAGCGTTTTTGCTACACAAGAAGCCCAGCCCAGTTTGACGCGGTGGCGTTTAAAAGCGGAAGTTAAGGAAAGTATTGGAATCCGTACTGAGTATATCTTTATTCCTGCCGGCCACTGTGTAATGTAAAATCTCTTAAATTTGCATGTTAAGCTTATTTATTTAAGTCTACACAAAATTTTTGATAGTGAGGTTTCAAGCTCTCCATTCGGGCGAGCCAAGCGATCTGCGCGAGAACGCATGTGCGTATAACTTTTCAGCACGAGGGAGAAAGTTTAATAGCATTTTTTCCTTTTGTGGCTCTATATCCTGTATATCTGGCGTAAATTTCAAATTGAGTATCACAAAAATCTATGCCAAACGACAGCGACTTTCTCGACCTTGCTAAAATGCGACAGCGATATTTCTTCCTAAACTACCAGGCTACAGGCAGCCTGAGGAATGACAAACAAAGCAACAGCATACCCCCTTGGAAGGCCTCTTTCATGATTTGCCCTAAATAGAGAGCTAATGCTCGCGGGCTAAATTTAAAATTAACACTGTCATTAACATCATTTCGGCTAGGTGGCAAACAAAGAAAATCATTCAATTAACACAGCTTTAAAAGAGTATTAATGAAAGTTCTTTTATTTGTAAAGATCTAAGTTTACTCCTTTTTGTCGTATTGAGATAAACGAAGACGCTTTGTGAAAGTCTAAACATACAAAATTTGTCAAACTTAATTTTGAAAGATTCGGTGGCATTTGTAGATGACACATTTTTGGTGCGGCTGTCGTAGGTGAAATCCTTTGTAGGGTTGAAGCAGGATTTCCTTTGTATTTGCTGAATTAAAGAAATGAATTATAGGAATGATCTGCTTCTGTTACCATAATCCATTTGCTACAACTCACCGGTAACTACGTCTATATGCACACTACTTAGCTATCCAGGCGGTTTAGAGTGTCTGCGACGCAGGCTATCCCAGTTGGGACGGCGAGTTAGTCTGCGTAATAGGGGAGGCGAGATTGTTAGAAGGGTTTGTCAAAATAACCCTCTGCATATTGAATAGACAGTGGAAACACACTTTGTCTTATTGGTGAAATTAACTTTTAAAGACTAGTTATTAGGGAAATACGTTCAGTTCCAGTGCGACTCTTGCATGGAAAAAGGAACAACAGAGAAACAGAAAATATGGTCACCAAACTCCATTCATCCCACATGGTTAGCACAAAATGAAAAATTAGGCTTCTCTATACTCTCGTGGACCGCAATAAAAGACTCAAAATAAATAGAAAACGTTAACTTGTTAAAGAGGGTCGTGAAGAGGGGTACCAAATCCCAGTTCCCAGCCTAAATTTGGCCCAAATCCCAGTTCCCAGGCTAATTTTTGCCAAAATCCCAGTTACCAAATCTAGAATCCCATTACTAATGATTATTTGCAAAATCATGCGCATAATAAATTGAGGGTCGTGAAGGGGGGTACCAAATCCCAGTTCCCAGCCTAAATTTGGCCCAAATCCCAGTTCCCAGGCTAATTTTTGCCAAAATCCCAGTTACCAAATTTTCGGTGTGTATAACAGCGTTATTTGCATTGACGTACTTGATTTCTAGTACCATTTTGCGAAGAAACCTTTTCCGAAGCCATTTTTATCTTCCCTTCACAATATCTTCCCGCCATATGCAAACTTGAAGAACTTGTCCGCTGACCAGGAAAACTGACAGAACGTAACTATTCAACCGTGTAAGCCTGGTAGCCAGACCGCGGGCGCGAAGGCGAAAAATACTGATTTCACGGTCTCTACTGAGGAGTGCAAGGTCTATTGCTACGAAATTTTATTTTTCTATTTCAAAATATTGGACCAAAGACCGCTGAAGAAAAGAAATCCCATTCCCATTTTATAATTGTTTATCCCATTCCCAGTGGCTAAATCCCAGTCCCAGTGAGTAAATCCCATTTTCCCAGTCCACAATAAGGCTAATCCCAGTTCTCATTTTACCCCTTCACGACCCTCTTCTGACTTTGACTTTCGTCGTACCAATTAAGAACACAGTAACACTAATACAGACAAAAATGGCGTCCTCAAACATTCGAAGACCTACAACTTAGGTACAGATTTTTAAGTTTTTAAAGAAACGAACGAAATAAATTATACCAAGTCACTTTTGCGAGGCGGTTGATTCATACTGACGGCCAAATTTTGATGCAGTGGCAAAATTCTCGTGGACTTGATCCCCAAAACGAAAGTTTAAGACTTGCTGACAAAGAAATGGCGAGGAGTCGTTCCTTAAAGAAAGGAAGAACTGTCAGAACGATTCGAAACTGAAACGGGAAAAACCCCACATTCCTAGAAGTAAAGATCATCAGTCAGGTGATCCTGGCTTGTAACGCCGGTGGGTCACGCCGTCGTCACGCTTTCTCTCCTGAACTGTACGTACTCTTTTCTCTTTTCTGGGGAAAGCTTAGCCTCCCACGCAGGCGTTTTTAGGGGAGCTCGTTTTTCTTCCCTCCCCAGGGGAGGGAAGAAATACGAGCTCCCCTAAAAACGCCTGCGTGGGAGGCTAGGGAAAGGAGGGTTGTCCAATACTCACAAATAGACTCCATTGGTGTTAGTGGTGATAAGAAGGGTCTCCATTGGTACCAATGGTACGATTGGTACCAATAGAAAAGCATCCTATTCCAATGGTTCTATTGGTGAATATGCATCTCATTAAGGAGACTTAGATTATTTTCCCATGTGACCTGGTTGGGTACAGGGCAATTCCAATGGTACGATTGGTACCAATGGAAAAGCACCCTATTCCAATGGTTCTATTGGTAAATATGCGTCTCATTAAGGAGACTTAGATTATTTTCTAATTTGGTGTAGCTGGGTACAGGGCAATCCCAATGGTCCATTGGTACCAATGGTACGATTGGTACCAATAGAAAAGCACCCTATTCCAATGTTTCTTTTGGTGAATATGCATCTCATTAAGGGGACTTAGATTATTTTCTCATGTGGTCTCGCTGGGTACAGGGCAATTCCAATGGTCCACTGGTACCAATGGTACGAATGGTACCGATGGAAAAGCACCCTATCCCAATGGTTCTATTGGTGAATATGCATCTCATTAAGGGGACTTAGATTATTTTCTCATGTGGTCTAGCTGGGTACAGGGCAATTCCAATAGTCCGTTGGTACCAATGGTACGATTGGTACCAATGGAAAAGCACCCTATTCCAATGGTTCTATTGGTGAATATGCATCTCATTAAGGAGACTTAGATTATTTTCAGATGTGGTCTGGCTGGGTACAGGGCAATTCCAATGGTCCATTGGTACCAATGGTACGATTGGCACCAATGGAAAAGCACCCTATTCCAATGGTTCTATTGGTGAATATGCTTCTCATTAAGGGGACTTAGATTATTTTCAGATGTGGTCTGGCTGGGTACAGGGCAATCCCAATGGTCCATTGGTACCAATGGTACGATTGGTACCAATAGAAAAGCACCCTATTCCAATGTTTCTTTTGGTGAATATGCATCTCATTAAGGGGACTTAGATTATTTTCTCATGTGGTCTCGCTGGGTACAGGGCAATTCCAATGGTCCACTGGTACCAATGGTACGAATGGTACCGATGGAAAAGCACCCTATCCCAATGGTTCTATTGGTGAATATGCATCTCATTAAGGGGACTTAGATTATTTTCTCATGTGGTCTAGCTGGGTACAGGGCAATTCCAATAGTCCGTTGGTACCAATGGTACGATTGGTACCAATGGAAAAGCACCCTATTCCAATGGTTCTATTGGTGAATATGCATCTCATTAAGGAGACTTAGATTATTTTCAGATGTGGTCTGGCTGGGTACAGGGCAATTCCAATGGTCCATTGGTACCAATGGTACGATTGGCACCAATGGAAAAGCACCCTATTCCAATGGTTCTATTGGTGAATATGCTTCTCATTAAGGGGACTTAGATTATTTTCAGATGTGGTCTGGCTGGGTACAGGGCAATTCCAATGGTCCATTGGTACCAATGGTACGAATGGTACCAATGGAAAAGCACCTATTCCAATGGTTCTATTGGTGAATATGCATCTCATTAAGGGGACTTAGATTATTTTCTCATGTGGTCTCGCTGGGTACAGGGCAATTCCAATGGTCCACTGGTACCAATGGTACGAATGGTACCGATGGAAAAGCACCCTATCCCAATGGTTCTATTGGTGAATATGCATCTCATTAAGAGAGTTAGATTATTTTCTCATATGGTCTAGCTGGGTACAGGGCAATTCCAATGGTCCATTGGTACCAATGGTACGAATGGTACCAATGGAAAAGCACCCTATTCCAATGGTTCTATTGGTGAATATGCTTCTCATTAAGGGGACTTAGATTATTTTCTCATGTGGTCTAGCTGGGTACAGGGCAATTCCAATGGTCCATTGGTACCAATGGTACGATTGGTACCAATAGAAAAGCACCCTATTCGAATGGTTCTATTGGTGAATATGCATCTCATTAAGAGAGTTAGATTATTTTCTCATGTGGTATGGGTGGGTAAAGGGCAATTCCAATGGTCCATTGGTACGAATGGAACGATTGGTACCAATAGAAAATGATGTCATTCCAGTGGTTCTATTGGTGAATATGCATCCATTAAAAAATAAAAATCTCCGTCGATTCATATGTTTATGAGTGATAAGGAGACATTCAAACTTCTGCTGTTTTTCCACGGCAGCGGATGCAATCC